GAAACTATTACTATTGAGAGAGAACGTTGCCGAACTCACTAACGTCCTATCTACTGACAGGTATTCTAAGAGATGGAAGCAAGCGAATTACTTGGCACAAGTATTTTGGAGACGTTGGTCGAAGGAATATGTTTTGTTGTTGCAGCATAGATACAAGTGGACCCAACTAGAGAGGAACATACGAGAGGGTGACTTAGTATTGATATGTTCCGAGTTCTCCGAGAAAAACAAATGGCCCTTGGGTCCAGTGCAGAGAGTGTTACCAAGTAAGGATAGATTAGTGAGGCAGGTAGAATTGAGGACAAAAAAGGGGATCCTAGTAAGAGATTTTAGAAAACTGTCTTCTTGAAGCCGTAGATGGTAGGTAGCTACTCGGGTCCCTAGGCGTACTGGTGTAAGTCCTAGGGATCACGAAATTATTGGTAAATTGAGTGTTTGTTGTTGATTGTTTGTGATGCATATATTTGGATTCTTGTTGCTTATTTGTTTGTCTGTGAAAAGAACCAAAATTCTTTGGGTCAGGAGTGTTACGAAAGAACTGAAGATATTTGGCAAATTAAAACCTTTTAATTGTACACTAATAATTTGCTGTGTTTTTGGATGTAATTGTTTTACTTAACTTTTGAACTTGTTTGTTTATATCATTATTTCGGACATTTTGGTTTGTCTTTGGTTTGGTATTTAGAACGCTCTTTATCTTTGCTTTGGTATTTGGGAGTTTTGCTCCGGGAACCTACAAAATTGAAGGTTTGTTTTGTAATTATTATAATTATTGTTGTTAGAAAGACATTTGGTCGATTATTTGTGAATTACGAATAAATTTGGTATCTAAATTGGAGCTTGGTTCTGTTGTTAATTTGGGTACGTAATTCGCAAGTAGATCGATAGTCCGTACTTCAATAACTAGAAGGAGCACAACTTGGACGTAACAGGCATTATGAGATGCACGATAAAACATTTATACAAAACCGAGTATTCTTAATTTATACAGTTTCAATTGAGAAGTAAATCATAGTTATAAGACTGTAATTGTCAAGATAACACTCATACCAAATGGTCACGTGTGTTTCAAATATTTTGTGGTTGTGTTAACAGCATCTACCTCATTTTCATGTTCTTTTGGAAGAGCGAAGTCTATACAAACTTAAAAACAGATACATATAACTTCGTGATTCATCACGAAAATTTATGCATCTGTAAATTATAGGTTATGCAATAGACTAATTTTGCGACTCTTCAGAGCTGTTTATACACTGCCTTTGCAAGATGTCTTAATGTATTTGCAAATCTCAGCTCCATACTTTCACCTTAGCTTTTCAACAGTGACACAGAATATTACATTGGGTTCATCAGGGAATTAACAGATAAATTTAAAGATGTTGTCAGATGAGGTGAGACTTGTGTCAGTCAGCTATATCGTAGGTTTAGGCACATATGTGCATCCGTCCAAGTTGACATATCTCATTAGCACAACAAGATGAACGCCAAATCAGTAGAAGCAGTTACTTTAATGGATGTAATGTATCAAAGAAAGAGTGCATATATGGATATGATACAAGGAGAAAGAAATGGTTAATAAAAAGAAAGGCATAAAGTAGTCTCACGTTATATAGGAAGACAGAGAGTGTATACACCTACTTTATTATGATCAATTCTGAGCCTAGCTACCCAGTCTATAACCATTGGTTACGATAGTCACGCGGACCCCAACCAAATAGTCTGAATCTACTGATACAGAGAAGGTAAAACCGATAGGGAGTTTCTGTATTTTTTCATCGAGAAGTGAATATGTAAGCAGTTGCAAGCCACCAGAAAGTAGAAACCATTAGCAAGATAAACATTCTTGTGAAACCGAAATCAGCTGTTTCAGGAATAAGGCGACATGTGTCTTCATGAACAAAGCTAGTGGTTTTAATTTCGCTAATAATTCGGTTAATTCAGAAATATTACTTGAGTTAATTGTTGATGATATTAAACCGCCAAATATTTTTAACCAAAAAAAGAAACTAGAATGTCTTTCACAAAATCATATTGCTTCAAAAAGTGGTTTTACTTCTTAACCGAAACTTCATGCAGAGTATCATAGAAAACTAGATGTAAAAGGTTACGTCCTCTATCTGGTTATGGAAGTATACGGTGCATTGTCTTTTCATCTTTATGGATTCGGTTCGTGTATATAATGCTTTTTCGGAATATTCCTCGGATCCAATGCGAAACACTCTCAATTCTTTGCACAATGATCCCTGGTTCCCAGAATCCGAGATGTGAACTAAAGGCTACTTTGTAGGTGTCATTACCAAGGTTTGATTTGATAATTTCGAATAAATTGAGCATTGGGTTCATTGTTATAAATAAAAACAATATATTTGTAATATCCCAATGAGTAGAAAATTGGATTTTCTGACGTTTCGTGACTTAGTGTAAGTCACTTCTTCAGAGAACAAGTAACCAAATTAAAATTAATCCAAGTTTAAATAGTACAACGGAACAAGATTGTTCCGTTGTACTATTTAAACTTGGATTAATTTTAATTTGGTTACTTGTTCTCTGAAGAAGTGACTTACACTAAGTCACGAAACGTCAGAAAATCCAATTTTCTACTCATTGGGGTATTACAAATATATTATTTTTATTTATAAAGGCTACTTTATCACCCACATTAAGACATCGGGTTTTTGGATCTCATCGGTACCCATCTACTGTTTTCTGTAACAACATAACGTTAGAAATAGTCCGAATACTTTTTAAAAGGACTTCGGCAGGGAGCTTCCCATTAGGGATCGTAGTGTTGAAAGTAGTTCTGTGGGCTGTTAAGAATCTATGATTATCTGGGTAGTTGTCTCTCATCTCCTCCTTTCAGTAATGCTCTTTTGAAAGTTTCGATAAGGCGGTATGCTTCTCTGTTCTATTTGTGATAATAGGGTGGAGAGCAGAGATGCGCCATTCCATTTATACTACAAATGTGTTTGAATGAGTCCGAAATCAGTTGAGAGCCATTATCAGTCAAGGAGGTCTCCGGAACTCCAAAACAACCAAACGAAGTAGACAACTTGTTGGGCATAGTACATATTTCCGGCCATGTCGTTAATGCATTTACAATAACTAGAAACTTTTCATTTTTACAGAATCACCATAATCTGCTTAACGTCTCTCCCAGAGTCTAGCAGGCTAAATCACTGCTGTGGCTCGCATTCTGAAGGGATTCTGACACCATGCAGGCAAGATGGATGGTTATGACACTTGTATTCGACATCCCTGTCCACCGAAAGCCAACTAACATAAATTCGAGTAAAGGATTACATCTTATTCCAAAGTAACCAATGCGAAGTTGCCCAGAAGTATGGTTTCTCATTGTTGTAACCGGTTAGCCGTATGAGCAAAGACTCCATTCTCTGATCCAAATACGGCAAGTAAAGGTTTATGTCTGGACCATAGTTTCGTCCTGTCGTTGTCAATGACCTGTTTTCATGGAAGATCGTTTTTAGATCCATCTACAAAAATATAGGAGATAACTACCCCAATATCATGATTTAGGGAAACTAAGGCAACCATAATAGGTAAATAAAGATCACAATGCTTAAAAAAGGATCAGAGGATAGGAATTGCCTGATTTTCCCGAAAGCTTTACTTTCACCAGCTCTGGGAATTTGCAACTATGCGTCTGATAGATCCACTTTTGCAAAATACATGCTACTGTCCATCTTGGCAAAAAAATTTGCAGGTTAGGGTAAGAGATATTGACAGCAATATGGAGCTTAATTTAACCGACTGGAGTAATTCGAACATAAGCGAATGCTGCCTTCGGATGTTTTGACTCCAAATATCAGCGCAGCCTAATCTGGAAAGTTTACAGATTCAATTACATCCATTTTATGAAGCCGTTCTAGTTCCTGTTCAGCACTCAGAAAGGTAGCCAAAGACAGAGATATTTTAGGTCAATAAACGAGAGCAGATCCAGATCTCGTCTTCCTGCAACTACACGGCGTTGTCCATCAGCCACGTCATTCTCCTCGTTCTCTTCTGGTGAGTTATCGGTTCTGATTCTGCGGCAAATAATGGTAATGGATCGATCCACTAATTTAAGTGTTTTCATCAGATCTCACCTTAATAAATCAGATACCTGAATCCATGTAAGGTATACTGTTCCATTCTTCATTACATTACCTTCGGGAACAGTACAAGATGCTTCTGCCTGTTTAGTATGGTTCGTGTGTTACTTTGGAGTGTTATTTATATACTGACGATGTCAGTCACGACGATCCACAGTTTGATAGTTCTGAGAAGTAAATCCTTTGAAGATAGGCCCTGATTGAATGTTATTTTCGATGGGCTACAGAGTGATGAGAGATGATCTATTATCTCACATAACATACTAAGTACACTAGGTCACTGCGACACCAACATCTAACCAGGTCCACACCACTGCACTACTGGAGGCAACATACTAGAATTTCACTAAAAAGAGAGACATTGGCGAGCCACGAAATCAGTTCGAGGACTCAAATCTAAGCATTACGAAGAACGCCTCCATTCACTAGACCTTTACCCATTAGAGCATAGACGTCTTAGAGGTGATTTTTTAATGGCTTATAGTATTCTTAACACTTCTGGACATCCTCTTAAACACCTACTCAAGCTTACTTCGAATAATAACCTACGGGGTAACACCCAGAAGTTGGAAACTCAACATAGCAAGACGGAATGTAGACACAACTTGTACTCCTTAAGAGTTGTCAAATGCTAGAATTCGTTGCCGGCCGAACTAGTCCAAACGACTTCCCAGGAGTCCTTTAAGAGGCAACTTGACCTATTCTTAAGGACCAAGGACAGTATCACACTATGATTTACCAATTTCTTTTCCTCTTTTATTGTTAACATACCTAGGTTCCTGCCTGGAGGATTTGGTGATCCCCTGCTACTAGACACGGAAGCCTGTTAAGCGAAAGCTTCTTCTATTCCGTCCACAACCATTCGAACTATTTGGATATTCTTATGGCCTTGAAACGAGATATGAAGTACTTGGAGTAGCCGTTGTTATAGTGACACAAGAGTTAATTATGAATGAGGATGAATCACCGAAATCAAAAAACATATTTATCAGCGAGATAGATTGCTTTGTCGGTAAAAATATTGGAAAGGTCAGTTTCTCTATCCTTTTAATTGATGAATAATGCAGTATTTAGCAACACAGATCCCTGGATCTGGAGTAGAATATGAGAAACAGGATGCAGACTTATCAAACGATAAGTGGGAACCAGGTGGGCCTTCTCCTCCAAAGAAAAACTGCTTCGTAATAAATGGAACACTGCGCTATTGTGACTCAAACAAACCTCCGTTTGCGAAGGATATTTTAGATGTAATCTACCATTAACTGAGGTCTATTAAAAACGCTTGTCTATAGTATGATGATCGTAACAAATTTTTGGAGCACGTGGCAACTTTCGACGTTATTATATACGACATCACGGTCAATCCTGAACAAATGAAGGAAGTGGTATGGCTTGGTGAGTGTCTAGAGAAGAATTCAAATCAATTCGCTTCCAAGAAGACGCTTATTTTGGTTACAAATTTGATGAGTTGGGTATCAACTAAGCCAAATGACCCGGTTAGTATGAAATGCGTCATCAAGTATATTAATATACTCAACTCATACTTTGGGTCATAAACATATGTTTATTCAGGAGAAAAGTGGTCAATTCATTATTCATTTGATGGATAAAAGACAAATCGTTGTTAATTTTAGGTAAGGTAAAAGGGTTTATTTCGGGATATTTCACCTGAACGCGGAAACTTTGGGAGAGTTTGCAATGCTTACTCTATGCTCGGGAAAATGTGACACTTTGCTGCTTTGTCGCCCATATTCACACAGACCTTCCCTATGAATTTTCCTCAAAGTTCCCTTTTATTTCACCTTTTTTTATTTTGGCACTTAGGGTTAAACTAAAAAGGGACTCTTTGAAGCTATGAGGATCAATCGAAAATAAACTAACCTGTCTAAATGGATAAAGAATATTCTCTAGACTGCACCAATTTGATTATAAGGATTAATCTATTTTATTGTATAATTTCTGTGGTTTTTCCCTTAGTTTTGATCATATGCACAGGACTTTTATTTCATTGATACGTAAAAGTCGAACTACCATTTAATTCATGAAATTAAACACTGCTAATTAATTGAACTGATGAGTATAGGCTCTCATCAGCCTATATACCAATGATTCAGTGAGTAATATGCAACGAAGAATTTGACATATGCGCGTCGGTTTAATTCGTCATACTATATAAACATAGGAAGATAAGCTTCTCGAGACTAATCTCATAGTAGTAAAAACAGTAACAGTATTAGTAGTAGCTGGGAAGACAGAGTATAGGGAGGTTTTGGGATTCAGAGACTAATTAATGTTACCTCCAGAAGAATGTTAATGATTAATAGGTAATAGTATTATTAGATTAACACCGGAATTAAGCCTCTCAGTAACGACAACTCTTCAACATGGGAAGAATCCCAATCAACATACTCTAAAATGTAAACACTGTTTTGTTTCAACATAAGGTGGATCTGATCCCTCATGCAAACTACAGGGTTTTTGTTATGTCGTTTTAAGTACAGTGACGGTACTGTAAATTACAGTAACAATTCATGATATTTCCTTCATCCGCCACATAGTAATAAATTATTTCATTCTAGTACATTTTTAATAATATTCTTAAGGAAATTATCAGATTTTATCATATTAGCTATAAGCCTATATTCCTTTTGCGTACCCTGTTCAAATGTAATTTTTTTCACCCTCTTAAAGGAATTTAGAGCCTGAGAGATTTTCTCATGCAACGGAGGTCAATATAGAGATTAGTGTGTTGCTTTACGGCACGTAGTTAGACTTGGAGTTCCACCAAACAACACAAAATTGATAGTTCTTTTTCATTTTTGTCAGTAAATTTGATGTGGAACAAAAGTGTATTAACCAATTTTAAAAAAGTTCTTAAAAACGTCTTCTTCATAATGACAAAACTACCATCCATATATCTACGTCAGATTCGCCGTCTAACGTTATTGGCAAGAATATTTGATTTTGTATGTAACATAATTAGGTTAGCTGCAAACTAGGACACAGAAAACCCCATGGCCATTCCATTTGTTTAATGTCCTTTTGGGGGTAAATAAGATTAAATCTAAACATAGTTTCAAGGTAGTCATAATTCAAATAATCTTTAAACGATAGCTGCCAGATGAAGTTTGACCATTCTCTGGTAAACACTAGTAAATCCTAGGCATCTATCAATTGGAATACCAGTGTACACAGATACATCATAGTTTTTCATGGTTCCAATTTTTTAAAAAATTAATGTCTGATATTTTGGACTTGAATTCATTAGAATCCTTAATTACATCATGTAGGTTTTGTTAAAGTGGTGCCAATATGCTGCTTAGATATTTAGATAAGAAATACGTAGGGGTTTTTATGAAGTCAACTGTAGGTCTTAGTCAGATGTCTGATTTGCTATTGCAGCAGATTTTGTTTATTGTACTTAGATGAAGTGATCATTGTTTACATCCATGCTACAACCCATTGTAAGTCAGTTTTGTTGGTTAAATAAAAATGCCTGAAATACTGGAAGACCTTTGATGTCTCACCAAAACAATTTCACTAAATGCTTATTTAGTTATTTGAGTCTCATAAACTTGATAAATTCAGCTAAGTGACTTTAAAAAACTGCAAGGAAATGTTTCTAAGATAATTTTTGATAATACGTAAGTTGTTTTTCAGTCTTGTTATTCGCAAAGTAAAACCATTATTCAAACGACATAACTGTTTACTTTGGAGACTGTCATCTGAAGTGGACCAGATCCTCATTAATAACAGAGTTTGATATTGCCAGTATTCAGTCGGATGAAAGATTTATTTATCAATGAAGTGAATGAATTCAGCCACAGAATTATTAAATACCTAAAACCAAGTGGATAATAATTTTTATAACATGTATTTCTTCAGTATTTTGCACTTCTGATCGTTAACCAAAGTGAACCCTTGAAAACGTTCTGTTGTCTGAGTTTCAAAAATCCACCCTCCATTCCCAACTTTAACCACTTGTCAACCTTCAAAGATCACCTTTTAATTTTATTGATCGAAATTTGTTATCATTGCTAACTTGGTAAAACCATAACGTCACATAACACCAGAAACTATGTATGTTCATTTTGAGACACTATATTAAGTTGAGTGATTTTTGTGAAGATGTGATAAATCTGAACATCAGCATTTTATCAAAGACTATAATTAAATGTTCAGCATTTTTCTCAACTTCATCGATTCTTCAGTTGGTGATTTTTTATTCATGATGAAAGCAACTGTCAAACTTAAAATGATACAACAATATATATCTATCTGCCATTAAAAGTTCTTATATGAGGACTTTCAGTTTACTATATACTGCTTTAAGAATATTAATTTCGTTCTATGAAAGTATATGATCTCTTTAGATTGTTAATGATCTATCACCACTCCCATCTTGGCATCTTTTCACAACCAGCAGAGTGAAATACCTATAAAGCACTAGGACAGACCAAACCAAGTAACATCCGTTCATAAAACCACTAACTATTGTTCTAAGTCATCTTGTGAGGTACCAATATCCTAGTCGAGGTCCACAAGCTCATGATGGTCTATAGTCAAGTACGTTGGGTGGTTTGGTTCAAAGTTGGTTTCAGCGTCAGATGCGCACATCCTTTGTCTTCAAAATCTCGATCCATGCTCCATATTATTGAATTTCTCCATAATTTTTAAAACTACAGTTTACACTTTGGATTTTTTTGTTATTATGAATGCTAATATTACATGGACCCCTTTGGATTTTCAATGCTATCTTTCTATTTCTGATTTGACTTCATTTTGATCCATATTTATCCTCAATTCTACGTTTATTATGACTAAATTTAGAATCATATTGACTAACATTCAGAGAATAATAAACACTATAAGTTAATTTTAGCTTGTTGAGGTTAATTTCACTCCATTTGTGACTCTAATATATGATGTCCCGTTAACTGAGCGTTTTATCAGGCCGATTTCCCTGGTAGTACTATGCATTTACTTGAGAAGATTCTAAAGTCAGAACACTAGTAGTTGGGTGAATTTATTGTTAATAATTAATAAAATCCACAAGCACGAAAGATGCAAGAAAACTAGGAAATGTATTAAGCAGAGAGTCGAAATATTTAATGTATTTTATACATGTTAATCCATTGTGGGTAAGTTATTGATTACCTTTACTAGGAACCAATGGAAGAATAGATAAAGAATGAGGTGCAGACGTGCGCGTTCTATCAGACTCACACATACTATTTTAGATCTGACTCCAGGTAGATCAAACGAATGATTGATGTCGAAATATACATCCTACCAATCCTCGTATATAATTATCGACTTACCTTGCAATAGTGAATAACGGAATTAAATAAGTCCAATACGAGAATGAGGTTTGAATACATTTATTTCGTGCACTCATTAACTTGGACAGACAGTCAGAGCGAAGCCAAGATAGCAAAGCAAAACGAAATGATTCGCGATGAAGAAGGCGTGTGAGACAACTCGGTTTAACCAAGCTTGAATCAATATTTGTAGTCAGACAAAAAAGTTAGATATGTGATGAATAGGTTAAGTAAAATACGTACACTTGGACACATAAAGGGAGTCAGAATTAGTAAGAGAATAAGTGATCAACTGGATTATGAAGACTTCAACATGTGGAAGGAAACGTGGTATACAGTGGACAGCTAGGACGCAGCTGGACGATATAGACTTCATAGATGATCTGGGTCTTCTATCGCGCACGCAACAACAAATGCAGGAGAAGACGACTAGTGTATCAGCAGCCTCAGCAGCAGTAGGTCTCAACATAAAAAAGGGAAAAGCAAGACTTTCTGATACGATGAAACACACACCAATCGAATCACGGTTGACGCAGAAGCTTTGAAAGATGTAAAAACCTCTACACATCTGGGCAGCATCATTGATGAACTTGATGGATCTAATGCAGAATTGAAGGCTCAGATTGGCAAAACAAGAGCAGTATATCTACAACTCAAGAACATCTGGAACTCAAAACAACTGTCAATCAACACCAAGGTCAGGATTTTCAATACGAATGTCAAGACAGTTATACTGCTTGGGGTGGAAACTTGGAGAACTATGAATGCCATCATCCAAAAGATACAAGTGTTTATTAACAATTGTCTACACAAATTACTTCAGATCCGTTGTTTGGTCAGACACTATCAGCAACAACCTACTGTTGTAGGAGAGAACTAACCAGATTCCAGAGGAAAGAGAAATCAGGAAGACGAACTGGAAGTGGATAGAACACACATTGAGGAAGGCACCCAACTGAGTTACAAGACAAGTCATCACTTGAAATCCCCTACGTCAAAGGAGAAGAGGAAGACCAAAAAGCACATTACGCCGAGAAATGGAGACAGACATGAGAAGAATGAACAACAATTGTATAGAACTAGATAGGACGGTCCGGGATAGAGTGTGTTGGAGAATGCTAGTGGGCGACCTATGCTTTATTGGGAGTAACAAGCGTAAGTAAGTAAGTATGTAAGTAAAAATGCGGTTTAAGAAATATGAATAGATTGATCTGTCCAAAGGCTAGAATAACCTACGTGAGTTTGAAATAGTACCAGCTCCTACACTTTTAAATAATGGATTCATTGTCTTAATTACAGCAAATAAACAAATGATAAAAGGATATTCTATGGTTTTACTATAAACTATCCTTTATACCAAGGTAACATTGACATTTTCTTAATTAAACAAATTATAATCGGTAATTATAAATATAAGATAGTGAATATCATTACGTTTGTTGATTAAGATCATGAACCGATTGATGTTAAACCACCATTAAAAACTTGAAAGCACTGAAAGACCGTTTCGTCCTATTATTGGACTCCTCAGCAGTACCTGTATCGTATTGTTTATCAAAAATATACCATATATGCAATGATGTATTGTAAGAGATTTATAAATTCCCAAAGTATTTTTCAAATGAATATAACCATAATGTTTATTATGGTTTATAAATGATTTTATAGGATGATCCAGGATTTGTGGAATCCGAATGTAAACGTCGTAAACCACATCCAAAATTTAAAGAATATTTAGAATGTGAAAAATCAATTTTGAAGTTAGGTAAAAAGGTGAGTATATAAAAAAAGAATTTGTTGAAACATAAGTATATACTGATCTTCTATTCCTTATAGTTTTGTATGTAGTTTTCTTTAGATGCTTTATCCGTTACCATACATGATAACAGGAGTTGAACCCAATAACCTCCAGATTTATTATATATTTATTTGAGCACATAAATATTGGTACAAAGGAGCACCGAATACATATGCATCACACAAGTCATTTGATTTTTATGTGAGCTGTGATACTGCTTAGGTGCCCAAACCGAAGCGGGTGGTTTTCTTAAGGTGTCACACCTAGAGCCTTTGACACAAAGGTTCGATCCACAAGGCAGTGGAGCAACGTCAGGAGATGCAGTCCTATGGTAGTCGGTGACAAACCATTAGTTCATACGCCATTTGTTCCCTCAGGATACTGGAACTCATATGCACCATTAGTTTGGTATGACGGTTTTCCAAATCCCCTAAGTGGATCCTCCATATTCACCGACCCAGTTAAAGCGCCGAACATTCGCTTTCCATCCTTTTAATTTCGTAAACAACAGTAATGCCACGAGAAGTCGTTGACTAGGACTTCCCTGTCAGTGGTTTTATGCACGTGTTCACATGAGAACATTTGGAGAGGAAGAGCTGACTCTCCTCACCCTTGGTCCTACCTCCAGATCCTCTACAAGGTTTTGCTTATGAGATACTGTTTTAATATTTTCTTTTAGATGAAACAGAATTTACTCATTTTGTATAGACTCAGTGAGAAGTATATTCATTTATTTAATTAATCAGTCATGATATCAATCATGATATTCCAGATTCTTTGGAAAAAAATACAAAAAATAAAACCCTTCAAAGTTTAGTTCAACAAAAATGAAGTATCTTCTTGAATTTATTTACGATTAATAATGTTAGGAAATAAAAGATAAATCAAAATATGAAATGTAAGGGGATTATATAAATTCATTTATGCATTAGATTCTTTGTTTAAACTGATTACGGCTTTTAAAGATGAGGCTATCCCCTTTTATTGATCGATTTCGTAAATACAGTAATTATTGAGATGATGTAATATTGTTAAACGAATACGTAAGCATTTCATGCTGAAATTTATGATAGAATTCTATCCCCATACCATGGCTCTTATCATTACTATCTAATTTCCTATGATGGATAGTGGCTAACAGTGGAATCCAGGACTCTCGTTTCATCCTGTTTTGAACTCGTCAGTTGGATGTATCTGCATCTCACAGTTCATGTGCCCTCCGAGACTTGAAACCAGTATCGTTCGCTTTAAACGCCACCACGTTATCCATTTAGCTACTGAGTTCTGATAGCCACCTGCTTGTGCAGTGGGGTGAAGTTTCTGAATTCACTCGATATTGTTTACTTGAATCTTCCCATTGATGTTTAGGACTGCAATTGATCAGTCTCTTATTGGCATATGTGCATCTTGTGCGAATTGCCTTGATATTGCCTTAAGTCACAAGCTTTTTTGAGCGAATATGGATAGTGGCTAGCAATGGAATCCAGTTTGACGTGCATTTCATCCCATTTGGGATTCGTCATTACTTAGATATTAATATTGAGGATATTTGATGGGAAACCCGAAAAATAGATTGAGTAAAAGTGTGATTGAATGTCGGTAATTATCGAATATTTGGTATAATCTCTTCCTGGTTCAGTTGTTGGGCGGTTCAGAAGTGAACCTCCTTTTGAGAACACTAAAAAGAATAAAGTACTAAAACAAGTTTGATTCAATCACTTCTAATTAGTAAGCTAAAACATAAGATTTACATTTGACTACATACCGATGTTGTTGTGATGACACGGGGAATTATCTGTAGCTTGTTCGTTCTTTTTTCCATACAAGGTATATTCTTCTGGTTCAAGATGAAAATACGTCCAGTCACTAAACTGACATAAATTAAACAACTGAAAATCAAATAACCATGGTTAATTGCTTTATTTCAGTTTGGAACTATTTAAAAACGCATATCTTACTCCTCTATACTACAAATAGAGTTGAACTTATATATATGCTATAACCTTATACACAATCTTTCTTTTATATATTACCACCACTGAATTAACTACTTCTATGAATTCGGTGTTCATTTTGTTGTCTTTATGAGGTGTGGCAACTTGAACCGGTGCACATATGTGCTTGGTCCTACGTTGTCGTTGATTGACTGACTGACTGAAATTTCATTAAGTTGTTATGGTATGTATTAGACGACAGGAGCCAACTTTTTGAATATTCTGTACTGTTGGTTATTATGTTAATCCCGCATAATTTATTCGCCTCTCCATTTCAAATACGTTTGATGTGCTTGTAGCTTTATAATCTGAACTATCTTCTAATGAACTATAATTACCGCTTCTCATCGCCTTCTAATTTCAAACACCATTGAGATTTATATCATAACGGTTATGTAGATGATTGGTGAATGAAGCAAAGCTACTACAATTTTAACAATAAATCCATTGATGTGATCACCAAAAGAAAATCTTTTCTAATTTTAATTAACAGCATAAAAAGAAATTTGTAACTTATGTATTAGCATGTGGAGTATTCTATGGATGTGGGGAATATCTTTTTCGACATTTATTTAAAGTAAGTGCTTATCTTATATTGTTTAAATTCATTCATAATTGTAAAAATCTAATTTTTATCACTAAGTTATGTAACCTGGGGACTCAGCAGTATTAGAGGATTACCTATTTACTTACACCTGTTACTCTTCGTGTAAGAGCATAGACCGTCCGCCAGCAATCTCCATCCAACATTGTCCTGGGTAATCCTTTCCAGTTGCTTCCAGTTGTTATTCATTCATAATTATTCCTTTAACTCCCAGGATAGGGTTTAAATGATTTAATTTGTTTAATCGGGTTGGCGTTTTCTAGCAAGATTTTTTTCTACGGGATGGGGTTGAAGAACCCATACCCAATCCTCCTCCTTTACTTGAGCTTGATACGACAGTAAATGTAGAAGAGTTACATGCGGAGTTAGTATTCGGGGTTGGCAGTCATAAAGAAGTCTAAGAGATACATTTGATCTTTATTATGTGAATTTTATAAATTAGAACAACACATATAAGCGAACAATATTTTTTTTCAATTAGATCGTCATCAGGCTTTACTCTAATATACATGAATATTTATACGAAAATGTTAAACCAATCAAGGCAATATGGGTCAATAATCAAAATGAAATAGAATAAGTCTCTACACATAATAGGTAAAAGTACAAGTTTATAGTAGGAAGACAGGTGAACTGATAATAGTGAGAATAATAAAATACGATAACAAAAGTCTTATCAATAGTTAAACGTTGGAAATAGAAGGTCAAATATGGGTAAATAGACTAGGAATAGTAATCAAAAAACACTAAAGTCATTATGTAATAAGAAGTGTGTAAATAATTAGATAGTGAAGAATACAAACAGAAAGAGGCCGAAAATTACCAACAAATAATCGATGTGAAAGTAAGGTTAATGATAACAAAAATAGAATAAAATAAATAATGATAACAATAAAATTAAAATTTTTTTAAAAAAAATTCGTTAGTTAAGTTATAACTGGCCATGGAAGGGATAGAGGGGTTGCGTATTTCTTCTGTACACATAAATTGGGGTTATATGTGCGAATTCCAATGGCTTCAGCTATATGTAGGAGGCGGGAAGGAACTCCATTGGGGAATGATGGAGGTTTACGATAGATAACACGAAATGACTTCGATTTATCTACAACATGACTGCTATCAATGAGATGTGCCAAGAAAGAACTGCGAATAGATTTTATCTGGGCCTTTATGTAGCAAGTTGGTAGATGTTCACTCATTCGTTGGTTAAGTTGCCTGGTAGTACGCCCTATATAGCTATCTCCACAGGAGCAGCTGAATTTGTAAATGCACATAGAAGAGGCCAACTCAGGTAACTTATCCTCTGTTTGGGTAGACATTGCTGGTCGACAAGAGAAGGTCAACGCAAGATTGGCTGCGTAGAATGTCCTGGTGACTACTTTAGTTAACCTATATTTCAGAGTGTCACTAGCCACATCCCTATTGAATTGCACTTTCATGTATAAAGGTTTCTTACGAACAGTCGAAATCTCCGACTTCTTTATTATGTCATATATGTACTTCTTAATGAAAGTACTGGGGTAGCCGATCTCGGTCAGTGAGTTGTTGATAAACTCAAGCTCCTGACTTAGAGTATCTACTGTACAGATCTTTTTTGCTCTGCTAGTGAGACATCTGACCAAATTTCTCTTGTAACGGATAGGTGTGAAACTGCAGAAGTGTGTATATTGGCATGAAGAGGGGTTTCTTCTATACACGCTTCTACTTAATGTGCCGTCACTTCGTCTGCTTAGTGTAACGTCAAGGAAGTTCAGCTTCTTATCATGCTCGCTTTCACCAGTGAAAGTGATCGCTGGGTGAACACTGTTGAATTGTTCTAGTAGTTCCTCCTTACTGGTGTTTTGATCTACGATAATGAAGGTGTCGTCAATGTAGCGGCAATATAAATCAAGTTTCTTAATAGTCTCATTGAGAGGTCCATTTTCTAGCTTTGCTAGGAATAGTTCAGCTAAAATCGGGCCTAGAGGCGAGCCCATGGCTATCCCGTCTATTTGTTTATGATAAGTATTGTTGAAGACAAAATGTACATTCAGCGTGCATATTAAGAGTAGTTCCTTTAGACTATCGTTAGGCAAGCCAATGTTGATTTGTTTTTCTGATATTTGCTTGCATATAAACTCAATAGTCTCTATAAGTGGTACGTTGGTGAACAAAGATCCTACATCCAATGAGATCATATTTCTCATACTAACATTAATATTTTCCACTGCGAAGGTGAAGTTGAAGACATCTTTCACACTATTTCTCACAACTGATTTGTGTAAAGGTTCTAAGATTCGTACTAGCCACTTTGTAATTTTGTGGTAAGGCGAATTGTACATATCTAGAACTGGGCGTAGAGGAAGACCCGGTTTATGTACTTTAGGCAAACGATAAAGTCGTGGTGTAAATGATCCAGTCGGCTTAATTGAATCGTGAAGCTCGGTCGTAATTATTCCCTTTTTCTTTAGATCCTTAAGGAAATTGGCCAATTGTCTTTCTACTTTATTATTGATGTCACAATTACTAGTAATTTTCTGAAATTTGCTAGGATCGCTAAGCATTATTTCCATTTTTCCCATGTAATCATTTTTGTCCATGAGAACTACACCTCCTCCTTTATCTGGCTTGGTTATGGTCAGGGTTTCATCTTTTCTTAGTTTCGTTAAAGAGTCTCGGTGCTGCGTGGTTAGTAGGTGATTTGTGGTACCCTTACTATTCTTGTATTGTTGGCAGCTATCAACTAATGTGGTTTTAAACCGAGCAAGATCCTCCAACGAGGTAGGAATCAAGTCATTTGTTTGTGAAAATAAATTCTCAAATTGTACATCAGTATCTAATTGGTTGATTCTATACCTACTATCACAGAATTTAGGCCCAAGAGATAAAGCTTCTAGCTGTACTACATCTAGTTCAATATTGGAAAAATTATGTACTTACCGTTTCGGGTCGAAAGGAAACTCCTTTTCTGGCTTTTGGTTTTCCAAAGTTTTCATTAGTTTTGTCAACGTTTTCTCAGATCTGTTCTTGGAAATTTTTCCCACATAATCCATAAACATTGACTGAAGCTCTGAAGGTAGGTTTTTAACGGAATATTTTCTCTGAAGAAGATTCCTTTCTAGGTCGCAGATATTCATTTTTAAAGTATCAATTTGATTCGACGCATGTCTTTCAAGTGTTCTTGCACCAGGATAGATTCTGTTACGACGTAAAGACTTCTAATATATTTTAGGATATCTATTAGATTGTATACAATTAATAGCAAATTCTAAGCTCGTTTTCGTTTCTGTGAGACGTGCATTAAACTTCAGAAACTCATTGAGTGTCTTAAACGTGGGTCCCCAAGCGATTTTAGAATATTAAAGTATATTAGAGCAAAGCCTGATGACGATCTAATTGAAAACAATTGTTCGCTTATATGTGCTGTTCTATATTTCACAATGAGAATCTTTAATTTTATAAATCCTTCACATACTGGTGTTAAAAAGCTCACTATATAATACAGATAATCAGCATAATATTATTACAATAATTACATGACGATAATATTCACACATTCTATGTATTGTGATAAGTTTTACTAATTGAATGCTATATTCGGTTCCTAAGCTTTTCTAGTCACCCTCAAGCTAGAACTACGCAGCGACATGAACACGAGAGAAAAGACGCAAAGTACGTAAGAAATACTTTACTTCTAAGGTTCATTGATGTACAGAAAATATAGGGATTTTATAGTGTTTTGGATGTCCTTAAGTTTTCCCAAAAATTCTAGAATACTACTAAACATAGTAGCACTGTGGTAACCACCCAGTCAGAGACTCGAAATGTGACTTTCCAACTTCTAGATGTTTCTGGAAAAACTTCTAGTGAATGCTGATTGAATAAGATGCTTCTCAGTGTTCTCAGAGCCTTTCTTGGCTTTTTCGAGTTTTCTGGATCTCCTCAACAATTTAGTCATTATCATTCAAGTTAACCTACTTAATTAAGTTTCACTTGATCTGTATGTCTATTGTGAACTGAATGGTCGTTTAAATCAATAAAGTTTACTCTTTGACTACCCATTCTTTCAATTGTGATTCCTATAGATGGTTTGTAGTCATTTTGTCGGTAAGGCTGTACTTTTGATGATGTTTTTTTTTCACTAAATGAGTTCGTTGAACGACACTAGAATAGGTTTGTTAGAATATACAGTATTCTTTAAAAAAACTATGAATTTCTCTACCAACAGCATCATAGTTTGGTTTCTCCAATGATTAACCGGCCAGTAAGGCACAGTCAACTTTATATTACCTAGTGATTAGTATTAATCGAGTTCCACAGACCATTCTTATGATTCAACAACCAACCTGATTGATTTAATACCACAGTTGTAAGTAGTAAAACATCACTCAATGTAATAATAGGAAAAGTAGGTTTTTATTACTGTTAGTGTATCGATCCTTCCCCCTATAATATTGGAATAATGTCTTTTACCACAAGCTAACTTCCATAAAATATTGATTCAAAGCTTGTTGTTTCTAGTCTCCAACTTACTATCACTAAACATGAAAACAATTATATCGATAAGTAAACAGTCATAGCATTTATCGAATACTTACGTACTTACTCTTGTTACTCCCAATGAAACATAGGTCGCCCACTAGCATTCTCCAACACACTCTATCCCGGACCGTCCTATCTAGTTCTATACAATTGTTGTTCATTCTTCTCATGTCTGTCTCCATTTCTCGGCGTAATGTGCTTTTTGGTCTTCCTCTTCTCCTTTGACGTAGGGGATTTCAAGTGATGACTTGTCTTGTGACTCAGTTGGGTGCCTTCCTCAATGTGTGTTCTATCCACTTCCAGTTCGTCTTCCTGATTTCTCTTTCCTCTGGAATCTGGTTAGTTCTCTCCTACAACAGTAGGTTGTTGCTGATAGTGTCTGACCAAGCAACGGATCTGAAGTAATTTGTGTAGACAATTGTTAATAAACACTTGTATCTTTTGGATGATGGCATTCATAGTTCTTCAAATTTCTGCCCAAATAGCACAATGTAGCAAAAATTAAATTGATCATCAAACTGTGAACTAATAATAAAGTGTGGATTTGTACACTTAGCTCTTAACTTCATTGTTTATTTGTGAGGCGATGATATAACCGGGGTGGTCAAACTAAAGTAGACGAAGATAGATTCACATTCCTGTTAGCAAAAAGAAATCAACAGTAGCCAGGGTATTAGGGAATGATGATAAATCAGTTGATGAGGTTGTGAATATTCATCGACTGAGATGTTTGGGTCACGTGTTACGTGGTCCTGAACACTGATCATCATGACGCGCAATGCTGACTGGTATTGGTAATGGTTGGAAGAACGTTAGGGGCGGTCAAACCAAATGTGTCCTCAGCTTTTTTAGTTACTAACTTCTAGTCTTAGCCATGTTGTTAGATGCAGACTACTTGGTTGTGGTCTGCGTGACTATCGTAACGAATGGTTGGAGACTGTGTGTGACACGGATCAGAATCGATCACAATGGCGTAGGTGTATGCACTCTCTGTCTTCCCTTAAACGGTGAGATTAAAATAGATTTCTATCTTTGTTTCTACGAACTGCTTCTTTTCTCATGTACTACGTCCTTATATGTAATCTGTCTTTCATATATTACCACCACTGAATTAACTACTTCTATGAATTTGGTGTTCATGTTGCTGTGCTAATGATGTATTGCAACTTGTAAGGATGCACATATATGCCTGGTCCTAAGTTGCAGCTGACTGACTGACTAACTGAGATAACCATTATTTGGTATCAAAAGATCCATAATATCAGGTTGAACTTCAACAATTGTAAAACTTGGTGGTTTCTGTCCGTTTGTTCCATTGTGATTTAATTGTTTTCTTTGGATTTACGTTCTTATTTCGGGGGTGGGGAGTTGGAATTCAGTAGTATGATAAAATATATAAGTATGAATTATAATCAATCTTTTCTTTTCAATTAATTTTAGGATGCTTGGTCAACACAAAATGAATTGCCAGTGTATTTAAATGGAGAAAATATATTGCCAACTGTTCATATACTAGATTTAGCCAGGTAATATTACAAATATATTACTATTATTGTTCAGTAAATGTACATAAAAAGAGATGATAGTGATAAATTATGCTTTTGATTATGTTAGATTCCTAGAAATCATTTGGCAAACGTTTTATTTTTGTAATTTCATTTTGGAGATTAGAATCTCTTGTTTTCGCGCCCCAAATGTTATTGGCCCGTTGTTTCTTTTAATATGCTACTTTGTAACGTTTCCCAAGGACATTTTTATACTGTATATATACGCTTAAGTTGTGCTTGTTGTTCGTTGATGATTTTGACTGCTTGTGGAATATGCCTTCTTTCATCTAAACCTCATTATTTGCAATAGCGCCGGTGAATTCACTCTTTATAGTCTCCCGAATTCTAGTCTTCTGAATTCTTCATATCCTTTTTTTTTCTCTTTTCAAATTTGCTTTACTGGATTATACTCCTTGGATAATATCTTCCAACCTTAATCTTTCCAATTAATGCCTATACTTTTACTACCTCTACCAATATGGGATTTGAATCGACAATTGTGTCGATGTGCTAATGTAGTATGGAAACTTGAACTGATGTACGTACGTACGAAGTTCTACGTTGTTGGTAAATGACTGACATCTGAACCTGGACTTCTCCCTCTAGATAGCAGGGCTGGGACGCATCAGAATAGTTAGCTTATCTTGTTCTTGTGTCTCTGAGTCTTCATTACATCCTCCGATTTAGATGTTCTCTTAATCTCTTCAAACATAGCAAAGTCAGAAAGTTATACGTGAACGCATAATTTAAATAAGTAACACTAAATCAATGACATTATGTTCTATTCACAGTGATAACAAACCAAATTGTAATTAGTTGCTTTATCTTTTAACACATGATATTGAATCAAAACAATAAATCAGTGAAACGAATTTAAAATATGATTATCAGTTAAATCAGTTCATTAAGTTTTCAATATTCAATCATCATCATCATCGCTATTGTTTCTTAGCATTAACAATTTTTGTTCTACACTTATAAAATGGGATGATTGTCATGGAAAGTAGTTAGTAATAGTGCTTAAATAATCAATCTTGATTACTGGTGATAACAGTTTACATACCTGTAAATTACATATCTACTTACTGATGCCTGTTACTCCCAGTGAAGCATAAGCCGCCGACCAGCATTCTCAAACCCACTCTATCCTGGACCTTCCTTTCTAGTTATATCCAATTGTTGTTCATTCTTTCCATGACTGTCTCCATTTTTGGGAGTAATGTGTTCTTTGTTCTTCCTCTTCTCCTTTGGTCTTGAGGATTCCAAATGAGGACTTGCCTTGTGACGCAGTTAGGTACTTTACTCAATGTGTGTTCTATTCAATTCCAGCGCCTGGAGTCTCTCTAGGTCTACTGCCGGTCCAAAGTCCGGGTAAATGCAGCGGTTTAGGCATGGGGTTACTGACCTCATCCCATATAAAACTAACTCGCTAAGAAGTGCTAAACGCAAGAAAATAATTCAAACCATTCAAACTCTGTTCTGGGAATTAGGTTTTCAGTTAGAAGAGTTATGACGTATCACGGTGAAAGCCGATTTCCTTTGGAAGTCACGAGGCTGACACTTCTTCTAACAACCAAAATAACTATTAATTTAGGTACATATCTGCAAATAGAACTTTAGTAAAATCTATAATGTAATGCTACAATTAGTTACAATACATTTCACTATTATTGAAAGATTATTGTCTAAAATTCAAGTAACTATTTTGCCAGATTTGCATTAGGGTTACTTAATGATGTTGCCTACATCAATCAGTGATTTCTTTCTTCATTATACAATTAAGAAAGGCAGTCAATGACTTCGTGGATTATTATTTGGGGACTAATGGTAGTTTTCATCCAATGTATTTTCATTTTAAATAGTGCCTGAAATCTATGTTAATAATAGATATTTCCAGGTTGAGTACTATTTGTCAAATAGTACGGTTAAATACAAGTGGAAATTTTGACGATTTCATATAACTGGAAGGTACATTTAACTAAAAATAGTAAGTAACTGTAGATCTGCTGAGCATCAAGGAGCTTAAATCAGCTGTTTCATCCAAGTATGTTACTCTTTCTGTAGTGTGAATGTAAATTTGGTTGGACCTAAGACCTTGAGTTCTCATAGTAGTTCTACGTGAAATTTTCTGAACACACTATTGTGAATCCTTGAACTGGACCCAAAATAGTTAGTTCGAGCTCTCGGTGTTTTTTTGGTTTGATGTCACTTCATAATGTTAACTTTCAAATTTTAAAAAGTTTCCACAAGAGCCTCCAATTTGTCATAGAAACAATAATAACCAGACTTCATATTCAAAGAATAATAATAAATGAACATATAGTAATACCAGTGGCTGAGATCATGAGTCAGTTGAAGCTAGACCACCATCAAAAATCTGGAAGCACTGAACGGCCGTCTCTTCCTATTGTAGGAATCATCAGCAGTGCGCATCCACCAATCTGCCTCTCGAGTTTCAAACGCAGGACCCATCAAACTCGCACGTGAATGCTTAGCCTCTATATCACTGAGTTAGCCGGTATTCAACGGTGTTATTGTCTAACTTCAACCAATCCACCAAATTGAGCGACACATCCATCATTGTCTTCAGTGAGTTACTATCTCACAACAGACGTGGTTGAACTCCACTAGTCACTGCTTCTTATGAAAGCTCCAGGAAGTACCTCTTGGAGCCAGTCACTGGTGAGCATATGTTGATTCATATCAGAAGGGTTTTTTGGATATTATAGTTATGTCAATGGTTGAGATCATGAGTCAAGTGAGGCTAGACCACCATGGAATAATAATAATAATGTATTGTTTTAATTAATCTTTTTCACTATTAATATAGAATAATCCAATTCATAATTAATGATCCTCCTAAGCAACGTTACATTGTTGTCCGAGATGATGGTCAATTTACTTTGTCAGAAATTGTAAAAGTTAGTGAATGCTTATGTTGATCTTTTTCGTTCTATGTACAATGATTGATAAATATCAATAGATTATGTACATACAGAAATAGATAACTAACGAATGACACTGAATTAACTTCAGTGATATGATTTTATACTTACATTAAACTTTTAAAGCTAACGATCTAATCAAAAAGTAAATAGATGGGTCATTACACTGGCAGGTGGCTATCAGGACTCAAGAGATAAGTGGATAACATGATGACGTCTGAAGCGAACGGTACTGAGTTCGAGTCTCGGAATGAACATCAACTCTGGAATGCAGGTATAGCCAGATGACGACTACCAAATATGACAAAACGTGTGTCAAACTGGATTCCACTTCCAGTTACTTTCCGTCTTTGCTTATAATGCTTATTATTTAAGGCAATATTGAGGCTGTTCGCATAGGATGCCCATAAGCCAACAAGAAACTGGTCAATTGCAGTCCTTAACAACATTGGGAAGATACAAGCAAATAATACCAAGTATCCGAGTACTGCCAAGTTGTATCTCCATATTTATGTTGCTATTTCGCTGGTCCTTCAAGTATCCCACATTGTCTGGACATTTCATGTTCCTATATTGACGGTTGCTCTGGTTGTTTGAAGGGGCATCAGCCTCATGAGTTCCGATGAATCTCAACTTTTATCGTGAGGCGTCATAATTCTCCCTTCAACTCGGAGGATATAGTTTAAATGGTTCAATTTGTTTAATCTGGTTAGAGTTTTTTACCACGTTTTTTTCTTCGGGATGGGGTTGCCGACCCCATACCTAACCCGCCTCCGTTGTGTGGGCTTGTGACAGGCATTAACTCTAGAAGAGCTACAGTAGGAGTTACATGCATATGTATATATATATATATAGTTGTGGCTTACTGTACTCTTATTTTAGGCTATCTCATCGGGATTATCCAATGGAGTTACAAGAGTATACAACGAAGAAGACATAAAATCATTGGAAATACCGGTTAGTATGCAATGAGTTAAACATATAATTCCAAACAATTTATATACTTTTTTATTTCTGGATAAAGCGTTATTTAAAAGTTGATGTGATCAAATAAGTGATCCTTATCTTATCCTGTGAACATTTAGTAAATCAACTGAAATGTTAGATATGATCAGTATGAGTAACTTGTTATTAGTTGGATTATGTAATTAAAAAGTCAATCACTGTTTATAACGTGATCTCAGTTAATAATGGCTAGTTAATCCGGATCAGTTTCTATTGGTGTATTCGATCGTGCAAATCAAATCCATATGGTTATGCTATGTATCTTTTCACAGTATAGAGACGAATCAGATATATATTTAATACAACTGTTTGTTATTTATCTTGTTTATTTATAGGCTGTATTCATTACAGCCTGGTATATATTTAAAGTTGATATTGTACTACTGGTCAATGACCCAGCAGTTTTCATGATTAATTGTTCATCGCTAGAAATGAAGATCATCGGCATGATCCCTTTTCGAGTTGTGGTTGCTCACTGTTGAGGTGTTCAATACTAAGACGAAACAGCTATTCTTTACCCTCTGTTTCTCAGTGGTACTCTAAATGAAGGTAATTCGTAATAAATACAACTTAACAAATAAATCAGTCTGCAAAAGCCACCTCAAACTGAGTTCTGTTAAAATAGCATAAATGGTCTACAGTGGCCTCGTTAAATTTGATGATACATATTCATTGAACAATAAATAAAGTATTTTTGCTAGTTTCATTTTTAAATTAATTTAGTTATAGTTTTGCTGGTTCAGTAAATAATCAATAAAAATTTATGAGATGCTGAAAATACTTAAGTATTAGATTTGGTAATGCGGTGTAAGCTACTGATTTCGACAGTCATAAGTAGTATGTATCATTAGTCGAAAGTTAAATGTATGGTAGCCGAAGGTTAAGAAGATCTAAGAGAAGAGATAAAGAACAGAGAGTGATTGGTATGGAAATGAAGAAATAACCAAGTCTGAGACAATTGATGGGTATTTTGGAAATGAATTATTTACTGTATAGTTCTCAGATTTTTCCAAGATATTCTGTAATGTTGTATTAAGATATCTTTGGTTGTCCCCGCTAGTGTTCTCGTTCACTACAGTACTTCTAACTGCAAAATAAACAAACAATCTTATATATTAAGCACTTTCTCAACAGCTACGTTATATGATACAGTGACTCAATAGCTTAGTAAGTGAGGTGATGAGAACTGTGAGAGGACCTTAGTAGACTAATCAACACTAGGAGGCATCTATTTCCATTTGATCAATTTCATGCAGGATGGAACGCACATATTAGATTTGACTGTTAACTGCCATTCCATATTATTTCTTTTGTTTCGTATTAAAGGCACAAATAACTGATGTTCTAACGATGAATCTTCGTATTGAACCGAGTACAATTAAAGAAGATATGCAATTTCCATGGATTTCTGATTCTGGCATACCAACTAATATATCACAATTAATCAATGAATTTATTGAAGAACATCAATTAAAGGTAAAACTTAAAGGTATTTACACATGAATAGTAATTACTAACATACTCCTTTTACCCCTGATGGAGAAGCATAGATCAATCACCAGCATCCTCTATCGAACTCTGTTTTGGACAATCCAAGTGTGAGAACTACAGATGCATCACTCTTCTCTCAATACCAGGAAAATTCTTCAACAAGGTATTGTCAAACAGAATGAAGGACTCCGTAGACGCCCAACTTCGAGACCATTAGGCTGGGTTCCGTAAGGATCAATTATGTACTGACAGAATCGCAACACTACGGATCATTGTGGAATAATCAATTGAATGGAATTCATCACTCTACATCAACTTCATTGATTACGAGAAAGCATTTGCCAAATGTCAATCAGTCGTCTCAAACTTGATTGTCCCTTTGTTTCTAGACCAATCATTCTCTGTTCTCGTTCTCTTTTCTTTGGTCTTCCTAACCTTCTGCTATCAGACATTTCACTTTCGATTGATAATGATACATGCTACTTTTATCTGTTAACATCAGTATCATACACCGCAGTATGACAACTTGAACCAGTACATATTCATGTCAAGTCTCATGTTGATGATGTCTGAGTTTTTATAAACAAAACTATTTTCGAATATACACCAAGTGTTAATTTCTATTAAATCTTGCTAGTAGTAATACTTTGTTGTTTTTAATAAAACTCAATTGAAAAGTGGAGGAGAGTGAATTGTGTACTTATCAAAAATGTATTGTATTCTAGACACTACCAGAGGAAATTTTCCCATAGATTTCATCTAATGTGATTTATTCAGCATTATTATTTTATAATATTAAATACATCTTCAAATAATGCTTTCATATGGGTGAATGTTTTACAACATAAATAAAAGTAATTTAATAGTTGAATTCATAAATCAATTGAAGCTAGACCACCACTGGAAATCCTGGAAGCACTGGACAGCCATTTCGTCCTAGTATGAGACTCCTCAGCAGCGCACATCTACGATCCCGCCTCGTGAGACTCGAACCTAGAACCTAGTGGTCTTGTGCGCGAACGTTTCCAGGTTCATGATTCTACATTGAATAAAATATAGAATCTTTAGATTTCAAAAGAACAACAATGGTGCATTAGAATTCATTCATCCGAATTCCCAATATCAGTAAATTTCCTATTATTTTATATTGTCAAATGTGAGTCATATATCAACTGTAGTTGAACTAAGTCAGTTCGATCGTATTTTAGTGCATAAATAAAAAATATGGAACATTTTGAAGCCAGAATAGAAAAGAAACCGTCTATTGGTTCCTCTTAGATTATCAATGTTGCAATTCTATGTAACTCAATGAATAGTTGCCCTAGTTATCAGAAGAAGCATCAGCCTTGCGATTTTCAAAGGAACTCAGCTTTCACCATGAGGCGTCATAACTCTTCTAAATGAAAACCTTTTCACTCTCAGGACAGAGTTTAAATTATTTTTTCTGGTTAGCGTTTTTTAGCGAGTTAGTTTCCTACGGGATGGGGTCGTTGACCCTGTGCCCAACGCTCCTCCTTTATCCGGATTTTGGACCGGCAGTAACTTGATGGGGACTCCAGCGGAAGTTGATTACCAATGTTACATCATCTTTATTTTGTTGACGATAGAAAACTATATTGAAATTTGATTTCATCTAATCTGGAATCTTTTTTTTAACAATTTCCTTTATTCAATACTTTTATTACATTACTGTTAGCCACTACGTATATGTATTCTTGGTCCACCATATATTGGTAAAACTACACTTGCTAAAGAACTTTGTAAAATTTATCGTTTACATCATATACACTTGAAAGGTCTACTATATGAATATATTCGAAATTTGGTAAGTCATTACTAGAAGAATTATTGTGTTTTTCCTTCCAAATAAACGTTTACCAAACTTCTTGACTGTGATTAGCCAAATATCAGATATCAGTTGTTCGATATTATAGACAATATAAGTGAAAGTTAATCATGTTCTCAGTTAATCTACGAAAAATTATAGACATTCAATACTATTAAATTCACTTGATGATGTTTTATTTGTATCTCCCTATTGTTATTTAGGACAGCAATTGATCAGTCTGCTATTGACATATGTGCATATTGTGCGTATTGTCTCGATATAGCTTTAAGTTACAAGCTTTTTAAGCAGCAGTTCCCTCAAGATTACAGATACACCTTGCTGACGAGTGCTAAATAGTACGAAAGCTAGGTTCATGGTTTCCTGTTGATTACCTCCAACCACCATTTTATGTCAACATATTGCACACAATATCGAGTCACTTGATCGATAGAATTCGGTCTGCACTAAGAAGAGCAATGAAACACATGACATTGATCACCACCCAATGATCAATCAATTATAAAAATTGAAAGCCTTCAATTTGACCCATGGTGAAATCATTTTTGCCTAGTTTTAAGGGGTCTTACAATAAAATGAAAAATCTATCCAATTCTTCTTAATTTTCAGCTGTTATTTAATTAAAGTCAATGAATGTTATAAAACCATCATAAAATAGAAACACAATGCAAAATTTCGGCAGACTTGAATTCTGTGTTACCTAGGATATCAGAGGATAGACTACAATTCTTTTATGAATACTAACCTAAAAGTTTAGATTAATAATCGGTGAATTTTAAGAAGAGCAAATCTCCTGAATACCATTGATTCTAGCTGACAAATTATTTAAAATTATGATCAGTTTCACATTAGTGAATACGTTGTTTTACCAAAAATTTTTTAATGGAGATCATGAACCGATTACTGTTAGACCACCATCAAAAACCTGGAGGTACTGAACAGCCGTTTCGTCCCATCATGGGACTCCTCAGCAGTGTGCATCCACGGTCTTGCTAGCGGGGTTCGAACTCAAGGCCTTCAGTCTCGTGCGCGAACGCTTAACCTCCAGATCACTGAGCTGGTCGGTATCCAACAGTGTTTATGTCTAACGTTAACTAATCCACGGAATTGGGCGACCATCTTCCATTGTACTGAGTTAGATACCTATCTCTCTTCCAGGTTTTCAATGGTGATCTAACATCAATCGGCTCATGACCTCAATCAAAAACTTAATAATCTCCACAGATAATTACATAAAATCTTCACCTGAAAATTTATTGACTACCTTTTACACCAAAATTCTATATTTACATTATCTTTCATTATTATTCAAGCTTGAACCAATTAAAGCCTATGAACATTTATTGTATATTCGTGATAAAGAACGTTCTGCAGCTGAAATGAATTCTGAATCTAATGGAAAAATGTTATTGAAACATAATTCACAAGTTGATCAATTGTTGTTAGATGACAATGAGATAAATGAATCGACTACTGATGTTATAAATCCATTGAATGTCAATTTATCATCAGATTATTCAACAAAATTACTTGAACCAATGAATGAACTGTTAGATTCATATGAAAATGATGATAATGAAAATATGATGACTGGAGGTAAAATGAAAGCATTTGATACATTCATTTTTGTTTTGTTTCATAGTTTAAGTCATAAACTAACATTTACAAACCACTATAGTTGATTTGGTTGGCGTTAAAAAGCTGTGTTCCGTACATAGCTGAACTCTATCAGTCATGGTTTTGGATTTGTGGTGTGTTTGGTAAATAATAACACATGTGGATATATCAATTTATGTAGATCAAAGTGATCTTAACAATCACTTGATATTGTTTACTTGAATCGTACCATTGATATCTAAAACTGCAATCGATCAGCCTCTCAATGGCATATGTGCATCCTGTGCTTATTTCCTCGATATTACCTTGGTGGCAGGTACATCTAGCTAACGAGTCCCAAATACGACGAAATGCTCGTCAAACTGGATTCCATTGCTAGCCACTATCCATATTTGCTTAAAAAAGCTTGTGACTTAAGGCAATATCAAGGCAATCCGTACAGGATGCATATATGCCAATAAGAGACTGATCAATTGCAGTCCTAAACATCAATGGGAAGATTCAAGTAAACAATATCGAGTGAATTTAAAAACTCTACACCATTGCACAGACAGGTGGCTATCAGAACTCAGTAGCTAAATGGATAACGTGGTGGCGTTTAAAGCGAACGATACTGGTTTCAAGTCTCGGAGGGCACATGAACTGTGAGATGCAGATACATCCAGCCGATGAATCCCAAATATGACAAAACGCGTGTCAAACTGGATTCCACTTTTAGCCACTACCCATCTTTGTTTATAATTTTAACAATTATTTGGTTTATATAACTTTTGACAGTTGATCATACATTACGTTATTCAACATTGAAGATCAACAGCTGAAGGTGGAAGTTAAGGAAATGAAGAAAACTTTAAAAAAAAAACATCGATATAGTTGTAATTTCAGTAGAAAAAATTATATGCTAATCAAATCAAGCAATGAACATTGTATTGCAATTCTGTGTTGATGATCTACAGGAAGATAAATGATGAACCTACCTATGTAATATTTATCGATCGCAAATTAAATAGATGGTGATTTAAGATCACAGACTGCTGTTATCATATGGACCTTGATCATGTTGTTTATACTAGTCTACAGGCTTCAGTTCAACTGTTGGTGGATTGATTAACTGGCGCAAGATCTTAGTTTGGTACCCTTCAGAATTATTTGAACCAACATCTATGCTATCCGGTACAGAATATATGGTTAGCGGTTCATTGGTATGGGTAATGCGATTCAAAGTAATCAAAGTCGACAAAATGTTAGCGAACCATGTTAAACAACTGATTATTTTAAGCTAGTGATCAACAGTTAACCCGAAGTATTACTCACCTGCTTGTTTTGCTTTGAGTGAGTAATACTGGGAGGATATTTCTAATTAAACTTTTAACTGAAACACTGAATAAAAATAGGCAGACTACACGATATCCCAAGTTCGCATAAAAAGTGAGCTGCGAACAAAGGCGTCTATTATGTTTACGTAAACTTTTAAGCTAGCCAGTCTCTTCTTATTTTACTTTGTTTAGTTCACTTCAGACACCTATTTAGATGTTGTGCATGAGACCTGATTAAGTAACGTTGATCAACACCTGTATGATTGGGTTGATTACTCTTAAGTAGAATCCAACAGGGGACAGAAGAAATAACCTAAATCTCACATTATATTTTACATAGATGACTATCAGAGTTAAGCATATAATCAACTAACTAAAGCTGACATTGAAACGATATATATCATAATGCTACATTCAAGTAAATACCTTATCTATACTTTATAATAATCAGATAAATTATCTCAACTTTTAAGGAAAACAACCAACAATTAGTATAGAGATCAGCACATAAATGAGTTAAGCCAACGTACAGTATCACATTAGTACAAATAGATGAATTTAACAAGATTTATAGGAGAAGAAAATGAAATAATGTAGTAAAAATGACAATGATTATAACTAAGCATTGAGAATAGATTTCTGAAAGACAGAGTGGATAGATATATATGAAGGAACATAAAAATTTAGTGCATATACGTCGCTATGAACTATTTATAGCCATTTCATTCAGTTTCCAACTACTGATCACCATTATTGCGCGCATCCCAACCAGGTAGCATCCATCTATCAACCTGACTGAGATCAAGAATCAGCAGCTTCATGAAATGATGGTTTGTCTTAATTTCCCTGCTCCTAGCTTTTTTCCGACCTGCTTCTACACCTGTAAATAACAACTGTCGAGGTGAGCGGTGATCAGATACACTCAACGTATGTCGTGTCCACCTGAATCGATGGAGATTCATAGCCTAATCAACCGATTGCCCATCTTTACTTAGTACACTATGTCTAACCTTAACATAGCTCCCTCTGATGTTTCATGATAGTCAAACAACTCTTAGATCACATCTACGATCAAGAACCTACAATCTTAGAGTGTACTCTCTAATTTTTAAAACATTTAGTGAATTCTTTCCTTGTCCTTTCTACTTTTGTATAACCTAGAGTATGTCACTTCTGACAGGAAACCAAATCTTGGGGATGATAATGAATTAAATGATTTAGAATATTATCCACTTAGTCCATTACCAACTTGGAATTCCGAAGATGAATTAGAAATGCTTGTCAATGATTGTCAAGAACGTTTAGAACAATTAAAAGAGAATTGTAATGAATTTGGTAAACTGAACGACGAAACACTGATACGGTAATCTAATATAAATACCTGTAAATAATGATAATATTAAGTTTGATATAATCATTTAATTATGATAAATTTAAAGTCTGAAGGTACCTGAAAAGGAAATTGGTTTAAAGATGATCTTAGTGACTTGAGAGCGTGACCGCAGTACACAAGGGACAACTACTTGAGGTCGGCCACACGACCTTTTTGTGAGTAATTTTCGTGTTAGCTCCCTAATTGTTGAGACCTTACCACCAGAGAGGGATATTCGTGGGATAAGGTGAGATGTGTATTTTAAGGGTCAACCTTTTCCAACTCCACCTCTCCTTGTGGGAAGGCAGCATCTCCGTTATTCTGGTTGTCTGAAGGAAACATCTTACTGCTATCACACCTCTATACAATCATCAGTACGACTTCTTCCTCAGACGTTGGATTTGATGCTTTTAGACTTACCGTTCTTTAATCGACCTGTTTGTCATGGTAGAATTTTGAGGAACGATGTTTCCAGTCAGTATAGCTCGATTGATTTATCACGATAGGCAAGGCTGACCACCACATCAAGGTAGCAACACCATTGACTTAACTACTTCTATGAATTCGGTGTTGTGCTAATGAGGTATGGCAACTTGGACCGATGTAAATATGTGCCTGGTACTACGTTGCAGCTGAGTGACTGACTGAATGTAATATCTTAGCATTACTCATTAATAACAAATTTAGAAGTTCTGGAAATCATTTACACTATAGTTCAAGTCTCTTCAAGACTATGTCCATCAATTTAAAATTGATTGAAAAGTTGGTTTGAGTAGATTATTGAACTGAGTGATTGAACGAGGTTTTTAGTCAGGTTTAGAATCCACTTGAAGTAGAAAGTTAAACTTTATCATGATTAGAATTGGGATTTGTGAAGATTGTAGTCATTTATCAGTTAAATTCATGAGTCGATATAAGCTAGACCACCATTGAAAATCTGGAAGTGGTGGACGACCGTTCCATCCCTCCTCAATGGCCTGGATGTTAAGCGTTCGCATGCAAGACTGAAGGTTATGGGTCCGAGTCCCACGTACCGAATCAGGGATGCTCAATGCTGAGAAGTCCCATACTGGGACGAAACGGTCGTCCACTACTTCCAGGTTTGCAATGGTGAGCTAGCTCAGATTGACTCATGAGTTTAATTGTTAAATGTGATTGTGAAATATGAATTTCATCAGCGTGTGAATGATGTACAAAAAACCAGTATCTTCCAATTGCTTGTGTATTTTAACTGATATTTAGCCCTGATCAATTGCAGTCTCGAACACTAATGGCAAGATCCAAACAGCCAATATATATGAATTAAAACTTACCTCATTGCACAACCCAGTAGTTATCTGGACTCAGTAGCTAAGTGAATAACGTGATGGCGTTTGTAGCTAACCGAACTGCTTTCAACATCTGAAGTTGACATCAATATCTGACAAGTCCCAAGTCGAAAGAAATGAGCGTCCTGGATTCCACTTCTAACCACCATTCATTTCTGTTTAAAATATAACCCTGTTTAGTTAACACTAACGACGGAAAAATATAAACCCTTACAAATAAACTTTATACCCGTTGCGCAATCTAATAGCTGCCTGAACTCTGTAACTCATCAGATAATGGATTGGGGTCTGAAACGGACATGAACATTGGTATAAAGATATATCCAGTTCACCAATCCCAAATGGGAAGAAACATACATTCTGAATTCTACTATTAGTCATTGACTGACTTTATTACTGTTTCTCTTCTTTTTTTAAAAAATTTGTAGATTATTAGTTCAAAAGTTATTATCTAAACCATGTCAAAATCAAGGATTTATTTTAGATGGATTCCCAAAAACGTTACAACAAGCTGAACTCTTATTTAGACGTAAGTTTATGTAATAAGTTTTTTTGTTCTTCCAAAATTGGTTTTTAATTGAGCACACTAATAGTCGGATCATTGATGAAATGACAAGTGATCTAGTGAATGGTCAGAACCCTGGCACATATATGAGCTACGACACACAAGCACAACGAAATTAAATTATTAATACATCTTAGAGTGGTATTAATAGTGAAAGTGGCGAGATTATAATTTATGGTCGAACCAATTAATGATAAGATACACAGGTCTTGGATTTTGGCGCGAAATTCACTCACCCGTAAATAGAGTTTTAGCATTTTATCTGATGTCAGTTCGTGATGAACACCCTAAATCTAATTTCTAACCTTAATTATCAACTGTAAATCATAATTCTAATTCCTCACACTGGTTTATTTGATGGACATGCCCAAGGTCACTTTAGCGTCATTCAAAGGTCGTCCTTAAATTATAGTCTCACCATGGAAGTATTAGTGGTTGCCATGGTAGTATTAAGTATAGACAATAGGAAAAGAGAAAAAAGTACGAATTTATGAAATAAAAATTATAAAATAATTTTAAAACTCAAAATGTGTGGAAAACAAAGAGTGAATAGATCAGTGCTGTTGTGACTGATTCTAAGACATAATACTAAATATCTTCAATCATTGAACATTATAATCACATTTAATCCCATCCAGGTTATCTGTATTCACAAACAAGTTTCAATTTAACAATCAATGACTTCATGAACTAGTGTTGTGTCTAGCTAACTTATAGTCAAATATGAAAAAAATCGAATAGTTCACCTCTATTTAAAGTTTTATTGACAATGTTTTTCAGAAGGACAATGAAGGCTTCACAAGTAAACTATGTAGTTCAAACAATGAAACTTCACCAAGATTTGTATTATCGATTTGTTAACCATTTAGGATTAGTTTCTAGTTCGGTTGATGAAACCTAATTAAATGGAAATGCACACTCAGGATTCTATTGGTAGCTGATAGGTAAAATATCACTGATGAGTCCCATACTAAGACGAAACAGCCATCCAATGCTTCCAGGTTTTCCATGGTGATTTAGCTTCAATTGACTTAGGAATTCAATTGTTAAAGAATTATGTATTATTCATTCAGTTTGAAATCATATTTTACTAACAGACGATTTAATGAAACATTCATGTTTCTATCGAATATTTTGATTTTTCATACACATTGATTTTTCTTTAGCTGTGATTGAGGATAATTTACGGACGATAAGAGACTTCCCAACAGCAAATGGCTTCAATGAATAATTATATTAAGAACAAGATCAAAATATGATAAACCAAGTATTCAGTGAACATATACTGTAAAAAATGTATCGTAATTCTCCGAAGGATAGTTGTCGGAGTTGTATCGCTTTCACTTATTATCCCTAACCTAATGACTTGTATTCTAATGTTAATATTCATATTATAACTTGACTTATTATTTTATTTTAACACATAAATATTGGTATAAATGGACACCAGTATGGAGGCTTTTTCGACACTAGGGCGAGCCCGAGAAGATATTGAATATCATAAGGAATTTCCATGATGAATTAAACTGCAAAATCTTCCATGGAGGACAATTCACAGACCGTTTGAAGTAAAGAGAGGTGTCAGACAAGATTGCTTACTCTCACCCTTTCTCTTTCTCCTTGTGATCTACTGGATTATGAAGACATCAATATTTGATTGGAAGCATGGGATACAGTGGATAGCGAGGATACAGCTGGACGATCCAAACTTCTCAGATGATCTGGCTGTTCTATCGCACACGCTACAACAAATGCAGAAGACGATCAGTGTAGCAGCAGCAGCGTCAGCAAGAGTAGGTCTCAACATGCACAAGGGGAAAAGCACGAAAAGCGAGATCCTCTGATACAGCACAACACGCACTAGTCGAATACCACTTGACGGAGAAGCTTTACATATTTGGGCAGTATCATTGATGAGCATGATGGATCTGATGCAGATTTAAAGGCGCGGATCGGCAAAACAAGAACAGTATTTCTACAACTGAAGAATATCTGAATCGCAAAACAACTGTCAATCAACATCAAGGTCAGATTTTTCATTACGAATTTCAAAACTGTTCTTTTGTATGGGGCTAAAACATGATGAACTACAAATGTTATCATCAGAAGATACAAGTGTTTATAAACAGTTGTCTACATTAAATACTTCGGATCCGTTGACCAGACACTATCAACAACAACCTACTATGGGGGAGAGAACAAACCAGAATCCATTGGAGGAAGAAATCAGGAAGAAGCACTGGAAGTGGACAGGACACACATTGAGGAAAGCACGCAACTGCGTCACAGGGCCAGCTCTCATTGGAAATCGTCAAGGTTAAAGGAAAACAGGGAGACCAAAGAACACATTATGCCGAGAAATGGAGACAGACATGAGAAGAATGAACAGCGATTGTATAGAATTAGAAAGGATGGTCCAGGATAGATTTGGTTTGAGAATGCTCGTGGGCGATTTATGATCCACTGGGAGTAACGGGCGTAAGTAATTGAGTGAGTCAGTAATTGAGTAAATGGGCACCAAAATTTATACTTCCCATACATTAAAATTGAAACTGTTAAAGAGATCTCTTCTCGGCCATGTCTGATAACGTCTTTGACCACTTTGCCACACTATCTCTAAAACCCAAACCAGAGTCGTGAAAGACCATCAGAAGTCAGTTCTGTACCTATCCGCTCTTTCCAATCGGTCCCAGAGTCGGTAAATAATACACAATATGGGATTTTCTAGAACAAAATCCTTACGAAATATCCACGCCATCGAATTAGATGTTTCTCTGTGCTCGAATACATACGATAATATAGGTAAAATATTACCTGTGAATACATCTAGTCCTACAGGAGATCAGTCGCAGCCCAAATAGCTCAGTGGTAACATCTCTGACTGTGAAGCTGGTTGACAAATGATCGAATCTTTCAGGTAGCATCAGTTCCCTCAAAATTACAGGTACACCTTGCTGACGAGTGGCAAATAGTACAAAACCTGGGTTTAAGGTTTCTCGTTGACTACCTCTAACCTCCAACTATCTTACATTTAGGAGTAAGTTGGAAGTTGGGCGAACAGATCAAAACACAGCACAAATCGATGCAGTCACTGACAAGTGGACTGAGTCATGTTGGTAGGTATAAACTACCTAGTTGGGATCCGCCAGACGATAAAAACCGATGGTTAATGACCTTGAATGATATGATTCAAAATCGTTTGCAATGGTTCAGGTGCATTCACTCTTTGTATTCTTCCAAATACTGAACTTCTAGGTTCTCCATGTCTCTTTCTTTTTTTCTTTTTCCAAATTTATTTCATTGAATTGTACTCCTTGAATAACATTTTCAAATTTTAATGTTTCTGATCACTGTTTATAAATTTACTACCTCTACTATTATGGGATTTGAAATGACAACTACATCTCTGTGCTAATGTGGTATGGCAACTCGTATTGATGTACGTACATACGAAGTTTTACGTTGTTAACAGACTGACTGATTGATATTCAGGAATCTATTAATACTTTATTAAAGAGATTATTTAATCAAACGTTATTCTTATTATTCTTTTAGCTGATCCAGATGATGATGATGATGTAGAGATTTCAAACAATAATAATTCATCATTCAAATCTCATCACTTAATTATACCAAATTATATGATACATTTAATTGGTAGTAATAATTTATTATTAGAAAGATTTAATAAACAATATTCATATCAACATTTTAATTCAATAAAACAACAACAAATTATGTTACCAACTTGGAAATTATATTTAATGGGTGATAAGAATTTATTACTGAAACATTTTAATATAATAAAACAACAATCAAATCAACAAATTGAATTTAATAAAAATCAATACATTGAACAAGCGGTTAATTTAAAACAATTTGAAACATATAAAGAAAGATTTGATAGGAGAGTACAAGAATATCGTTCTATAATGGCACCAAATATAGCAAATTTACGTGAAATACTTATTGATGAAGCAAATTCACGTAAGGAAAATATTATGAAATAAACAAAGTTTATTTATCAAATAATTATGAATTTATATAATGGTTTTGAGTGTTGTTAGAGGTAATGAAAGCAATTATCACTTTCAGGTTGCCTACACTGTGAAAGGGTTCTTCTGAATGTATATGAAAAGAAAATTGTATTAGAGGAGATCTTAGTGAGCTGAGAGCGTGACCACAGTACACAAGGGACAACTTGAGGTCGGCCACACACGACCTTTCTGTGAGTAATTTTCGTGTTAGCTCCCTAATTGTTGAGACCTTACCACCAGAGAAGGATATTCGTGGGATAAGGTGAGATGTGTATTTTAAGGGTCAACCTTTTCCAACTCCACCTCTCCTTGTGGGAAGGCAGCATCTCCGTTATTCTGGTTGTCTGAAGGAAACATCTTACTGCTATCACACCTCTATACAATCATCAGTACGACTTCTTCCTCGGACGTTGAATTTGATGCTTTTAGTCTTACCGTTCTTTAATCGACCTGTTTGTCATGGTAGAATTTTGAGAAACGATTTTTCCAGCCAATATGGCGCGACTGGCTCATCACGATAGGCAAGGCTGACCAACACGTCAAGGTAGCAACACCATTGGATTAGCTACTTCTGTGAATTCGGTGTTTATGTTGTTGTGCTAATGAGGTATAGCATCCTGGATCGATGCACACATGTGCCTAATTCTATGTTGTAGCTGACTAACTGACTGACTGATACGAAATAATACCATAGAAATAATAAGTACAAATATACTAGATTGATTTACCATTGTTGAGGAGTTCCATGATAGGACGAAACGACCATTCAGTGGTTCTAGGTTTTTCATGGTGGTCTAGCTTCAATTGACTCATGAATTCAACTATTAAAATATTTTGTTTAGTTCGCAATTGATCGGTCATTGGGTAGTCATTAAAGTCATGTGTGTCAAATCCTTCTTAGTGCAGATCAAATGCTATCGACCAAGTTGCAATATAGCTAGTAATCTAGGTGACTCGACATTCTGTGCACTTTGCAAACATAATATGGTAGTTGGATGTAGTCGACAGAAAACCCTGGACTTAGGTTTCGTGCTATTTGATACTTATCAGCAAGGTGTACCTGTGAATACATCTCAGTCCTTCATGAGTTCAGTCTCGGCCTGAATAGCTCAGTGATAATATCTCTGACTGTGAAGCTGGTTGACAAATGATCGAATCGGTCATGGAGATTTAGTTCCCCCAAGATTATAGGTTCACCTTGCTGACAAGAGCCAAATCGTACGAAACTCAGGTCCAAGGTTTGTTGTTGACTACCTCCAATCACCATCTTATTTTGTTTAGTGTTGGATGACTGAACAAATTCAACAGAAAACCATGAACTTAAGTTTTACGATTACTTAGACTTGTTATTTTTGTTATTCTGACATGTATTTGATATCATATTCATTGTCTATGAACTAAAATGATATACTGTAGCAAGATTAGTAATATGAAAAGACGTAAAGTCACTTCTGTAGATGGAGTTACATAACTTTACACTAAATATATAAAAAATGACTGCTCTATGAAGTTAATTTTATTGAAGTAGGATTATGAAAAAAAAATCATTCTATAAAACATGTGCTAGCATACCTATAACGAAGTAAACTGTACAGTCTTGAAAATCAGCCACAAATAATGATATAAATATTATACCCATTAATCACGTTAGTAGTCACCTGAACTCAGTAGCTCAGTGAACAACACGTGAGCGTTTGAAGGAAAATGTACTGAATTCGAGTACCAATGTTAGCACAAATACTGTGATAAAGTTCAAGTTATAAGCACCCGGATCTGATGAAATGAGCTTCCTGAATTAAAATGCTGGTTATAAGCCATCTGTTCTATAAATCTTATGGCCAAATATCTTTTCTGTTCCTGTACCACAAATCTTCATTATGAGAAATTGAAGCGATTAGAACTACTGACGTCAGAAGCATTACGATTAAAAGTGAACCGATTAGAAAACAACATTGCCATCATTTATTCTTCTTGAAGTATTAAAACTATCTTTACAGTAAAGAAAAGTATGATTCAAGTAAATAAATACACTACTCTCAATCACATTTCTTTTGCTTTAAGAAACGATCCAGCTACGGCAGTAAAAATAAGTAATTCATAAACTTCACTGTATTTATGATGGTAAATCAGTTGATGAGGTTGTGAATCTTCATCGCCTGAGATAGTTGGGCCACGTGTTGCGTATGCCTGAACACCGATTACCACGACGCGCAATGCTGACTAGTGTAGGGGATGGTTGGAAGAAAGTCGGGGGCGGTCAAACTAAAACTTGGCATCAATGCTTGAAGTCAATAACCTCTGGTCTAAGCCATGTTGGTAGATGCACACTACTTGGTGGGGGTCCTCACGACTATCGTAACCAGTGGTTGGAAACTCTTGGTTACATGGCTCAGAATTAATCACAATGGTGTAGGTGTATACACTCTCTGTCTTCCTTTAAACGGTGGGATTATAATAACTTTCTATCTTTGTTTCTACGAACTAATTCATTCTTCCTGTACTATGTGCCTATTTTCAATCTTTCTTTTATATATTACGAACACTGAATTAACTACTTCTATGAATTCGGTGTTGTGTTAATTAAGTATGGCAACTTGGACCGATGTAAATATGTGCCTGGTCCTAAGTTTTAGCTGACTGACCGGTTATAAAGAGGAAGAATGTATTTTTAAAATCTCAGCGAATGAATTTTGAAGTAAATCCAACGTTTCGCCTGGCAGTCTGGTTCAAGCTTTTCCCAAAGAAAAATATAATCAAACATCAAAATTATCGAATGTAAATAGATACATAGTTCTCTGACTGACTGTATGAATTTTATTAATAAGTAGAAACATTTATCTTTTAATCACTGTCTAGTAATGGATGCTTTGGTTTACATGACTCTGTTCATAAATCAATCGAAATTACTTTTCATCGTTCATTAATGACTCAGTATTCTTAATAGATGACGTCCAATGATTTCGACATAACCGACCACACTATATATATACATATCTAGTTTTCTTTTGATAATCAAAATACAGTTCAAGGAACCAATCAAATGGAAGAATTGAAAATACATCAAACTGAAGATGGAAAATCAAAATCTTTGTCAATGGAAGAAACTAGTCAGAAAGAAGAAGACAATCAACAAAATGAAGAAAATCAATTCCGTAAAAAAGATAGTGAAATGGAAATTATAACTGAAGAAACTAAACAAATTGAAAGACAAAATGAAGATGAAATCAATGAAAATCAACATCAGACAATAAGAGAATCAATTGCATTAGAATTAAAACTAGCACATATTCCATCTCTACCTGAAGTACCAGATGAAACTGAAGAAAATGTTTTAACTTATTTTGATCTAAGAGAAATTCATCCAATAATGATTGATATGGATAAAGATTCTAGTCCAGTAAGTATTCTGTAAAACTAATTCAATATATAGGGTGTTTATTAGTTGTTTCACTTCAGTATTACGTAACATTTCAATTCATATAACAATTTAGAGTAAGAGATCAATTCACTGCTTAGCTCAGTAAAATATAGCGCAGTTATAAAAACCTCTGTTGTACGACTAGTAGTTGAATATAACTACATAACATCAGACTCATAATTCAATAATAATTGATAAGGTAAAAATTAGTCCACTGAAATGTATCCTCGTACATCTTATATACACTACAAAGTTGGATATGATACAGCAACAATTTGATTGACCATCGTTCTCTGGAACTGTTTTGATTTCTATTACATTTCTGCATTTTTCCTGTACATTTTATTTGATATTTCAGATTTTTACCACTTAATAACATTATTGTTATCTTATCACATCCAGTCAACTTACATTCTCATTCATAATGACCTTCATGAATATAAAGAATACGACATTTCACATGAACTATGGCTTACTCCAATATATAGTCGATGTAAATAGTCAACTGATAGAAAATCTGTTAAGTTGATTATTATATTACACTATATCATGAAGTGATTAATGTTGTAAATAAGAGTTATTAGATCTTCAAAAGTAACTCAAACTGTTATCCTTTCATAGTCTGAGATAATAATAATAAAGCGGTAAGTTTTTACATTGAACTATATTATTTAGAGAAGATATAATCATCGATATACATTGACTTTCATTTCAGATTTTCTTCATTTTGATTTGGCAAACAAGAAAACAAATAATCAGATTTGCTTGTATCTCCCCATTGTTGTTTAAGACTGCAATTGATCAGTCTCTGATTGGTATATGTGCATCCTGTGCAGATTGCCTCTATGTTGTCTTAATTCACAAGCATCGTAAGCAAAGATCGATAGTGGGTAGCAATGGAATCCAGTTTGAAGCGCGTTTAGTCCTATTTGGGACTCGTCAACTGGATGTAACTGCATCGCAGAGTTGATGTTCACACCGAGACTTGAATACAGTATCATCTGCTTTAAACGCCATTGCGTCATCCACTTATCTACTGACGAGTCCCAGATAGGACGAAATGCGCGTACTGGGTTCCACTTGAGTGTTGTTGGTAGTACGGAGGCGGTTATCACGTCCTGGTTGCTCAAACCGCAGGAGGGTTTTCCTGGAGGTAGCTGAAGAGAAAATTGGATTACAAATGGTCTTAGTGACGTGAGAGTGTGACCGCAGTACCCAAGGGACAACTACTTGAGGTCGACCACACACGAACTTTTTGTGAGTAATTCGCGTGTTAGCTCCGTAATTGTCCAGACCTTACCACTGGAGACGGAAATCCATGGGATAAGGTGAGGTGTGTATTTTTAGAATCGACCTATTCTAACTCCAACCCTCCTTGTGGGAAGACAGCATCTCTGTTATTCTGGTTGTCTGAAGGAAACATCTTACTGCCGTCCCACCTCTGTACAGCTAGTAGTACGACTTCTTCCTCAGACGTTGAATTTGATGCTTTTAGTCTTACCGTTCTTTAACCGACCTATTTGACATAGTAGAACATTGACGAACGATTTTTCCAGCCAATATAGCTCGATTGATTTATCACGATAAGCAAGCCTGAGCTTTCACTGCTAGCTATTATCCATCTTTGCCTAAAAAGCTTGTGACTTAAGATAATATCGAGACAATCGGCACAGGATGCACATATAACAACAAGAGTCTGGTCATTTGCAGTCCTTAACAGCAATGGGAAGATACAAACAACACTAAATGAATTTGAGCTTCACCCCGTTGCACTAGCAGTTAGCTATCAAGTCTTGGTTGCTAATTACATCACGCGATGGCGTTTGAAGCGAACGGTACTGTGTTAAAGTCCCGAAATGAACATGAACTGTGAAGTGCAGGTACATCCAGCTGACGAGTTCTAGGTAGTACGAAACGTGTGTCCTGGATTCTATTGCTGGCCACTATCCATCTTTGGTTAAAACAAATAGTTGCATTTATTTATTTATTTATTTCAGGTTATTATGTTAAATGGTCCACAAGAAGCTTGTTTAGATAAAGTACGTAAAGCAATTGGAAAACATGAAGCGCCTAAATTGCCTTCAATTGAAATTTATCCATTAAAACAAAGTGAATATGAAATTCAAGAGAAAGCAATAAACATTTTAAGTGAATTCGAATTAGAAAAACTAAGAAAAACTAAAGAAAAACTAGAAAATCAAAAATGTGAAGAAATTGATTTATTGAAGAAATCTGAAAATGATTGGGTTTGTGAAGTGTTTCACTGTTTGTTTCTTTTGGCTTTTTTGGTTTTGTTTGGTTCCGATAAGCATAATGAATGGTAACTTTTGGGATCCATTATGGATCAATACTATACCATTCATTATGCTTATCGGGACCTAACAGGTTTACTTATGAATAAATTTATATTGATTTAGTTGTACTGAAAACATGATGAGTTCCAGCCCAATAATAAATGAATTTGTTTTAGATTCAGCTACGAAAATCTGTATGAAATAATGTAAACTGGTTGAGATAATTATAAACAATGACAAAATCAAGATAATTATTCATTATTTATTCATTTGAATACATATGCGTCATACTTTGTCATTCGATTTATGTGAGAGATGGGATACTGCCCAGACGCCTAAAGAGAAGTAGGAGGCTTTTTAGAGGGCCCCGAGCCTTCAACCTGAAGGTCTGATCCACAACGCAGTAAAGCAACGTCAGGAGATGCAGTCCTATGGTAGTCGGTGACGAACGATTAGTTTATACTCCATTTGTTTCTTCATTATCCTGCAGCATATATGCACCATTGGTTTGGAATCAAAGTTTTCCAACTTCCCTAGGTGGGCACTCCATATCCACCAACCCGGTTAGAGCGCCAGACATCTGCTTTTCGTCTTTTCAATTTCGTAATCAACACTTCCACAACGAGAAGGCAGTCAGCAGTACTCCTGTGGCAGTGGTTGTATGCACATGGCCATGTGAGAGCATTTATAGAGGGAGAGCTGACTCTCCCCACTCTTGGCCGTATCCGAGCATTTAGAGGCGGATGAGAATGTATGTCACACCGAATGTTGAAGACGTTAGCTAATAAATGTCAACTTACTGGCTTAACGATATGAAAATTTGTAGTTCCATAATACACTTCGTTGAGTGTATTCAAAATAGAAGGGGCTCCCTGTTCAATTTATTCTGGTTTTCAGTGACGTGGTCACAATTATCTTCAATGGATACAAAAATCTCAGCAGAATCACTTAAACATTTTCAAGTAATGAATTTGTTTAATATTTGAAGTTCTCATGAAGTGATTAATCTATTTACACTTATCCCATTTGGTAATAAACAGTGATTAACCGGTAATCATCACCAGATACTTGTTTTATAAATTATCAACCAGATCATCAATCATTTTTCATGACTTTTCTACATTTTTTTTGTTCTGAGACATTTGAATACTGAACTGGTGAGCAGACAAATAATGTGAACTTAACTTCTCGAATTACAGTCTATTCAGAAAGAAGTCTTAAGCATTGAAAACATTTTCGGAAAAATATTGTATTCAGCAATACTTCTTGTGACGATTTATTCAAATTTAGATGAAAATAAACAATTCTAAGTATTAATAAAGATATGTAACTCTAATTAAGAATTTTTTAAATATTACTTTATCTATAAGGAAAGATGGATAGTGAATAGCAGTGGAATCCAGTTTGACGTGCGCTTTCGTCCTATTTAGGACTCATCAGCTGGACGTACCTACATCTCAAAGTTCATGTTCACTCAGTAAGAGACTGATCAATTGCATTCCTTATCATTAATGAGAAGATTCAAGTAAACAATAGCAAACGAATTTGTTGCCCTATCTACTTTAAATGATCCAAATGTAAAGTATACACTACTATTATTTTCAATTAAAACCATCAATAAAAAACTTTATAATGAAGTAACATATTAACATTCAACAATCCTTCAAGGTTACTGATTGGTTTTAAATCATTTTGATGGCGTTTTGTTCTCTGAGTTGGATGGTTTGGTCGTAGAAATTTCATTGTTCCTCTGAACGACATCATCAGCGCAAATTTTAGATAGAAGTGAAGTTTTCGAATTTCTCCACATATGGTTCACAGCTTGTCCTGTACACCACAGTGTTGATTAATTCTTGTTGACCTTAAACCTGTCATTGTTTACTTCTTTGTTTTGGTTGTATCTCCCACTGGTTTGATTTTTGTTCCTATGTTTGTGCATAATTTTCCTGATTGGTTGATAAATTGGATCGGTTTCAATGTGCTTGTTCATTCCCAGTCATAAAGTTTAATAGTTGATAAAACTTATTGTATAAATTTTTTTTTGTTTAGAACAATTGGCTTTCTTTGTTGAACACACAAAATTATCAATATGCTGAAGCACATTCACTACCAATGCGTTATTATTTAATGAAATATATTATGCCTGAATTATCGAAAGCTTTATTGGAATGTTCTGAAATACGTCCAGATGATCCAGTTGATTTTGTGGCAAGTTCATTCATTGCTTATTTATTTCACTTTTTACCATCATAAGGAGAAGAATGATTTAATTCTTTAGGCATTTTAGTGATAGGTATTAACGTAAAATATCTCACCAGATCCTTAGATTGGGGATTGAAGTTACAGTTTAGTAAGTTTCTTATGATTCAAAACTTACTTACGCCTGTTACTCCCAATGGAGCATAGGCTGACCACCAGCATTCTCAAACCCACTCTATCCTAGACCTTCCTTTCTAATTCTATACAATTGTTGTTCATTCTTCTCATGAATGTTTCCATTTCTCAGCGCAATATGTTCTTCGGTCCCCATGTTCTCCTTTGGTCTTGAGGATTCGAAGTGATGGCTTGACTTGTGACGCAGTTGTGTACTTTCCTTAATGTGTGTCCTATCGACTTCTAGCGCTTCTTTCTGATTTCTTGCCACGCTTGGATCTGGTTTGTTCTCTCACAGTAGGTTGTTGCTGATAGTGTCTGGTCAACGGATCCGAAGTATCTTGTGTAGACAACTGTTTATAAACACTTCTGTCTTCTGTTGTTATCAAAATATACGTGGTGCCAACCGACTTAATTCGCGTTAGAGAATAACGGAACAAAATAAACCAAATGCGACACTAAATTTCGAATACGTATATTTCGTAAACTCGTTGATTTAAACGGATAACAGGAGAAATGAAACAAAAGGAAAAAACGAGTGAACCAACTCGTTTTGATCAGTCGTAGCTCAGTATTGATGTTTAGACAAAAAAAAATTACATACAAGTTATGAATAGGGTAATCATTTAACACATATCTGATCGTATAAAAAATAGGTTTAATAAGCGATAAGGTCAAAATATAGCTTGTAAATAATGTATAAATTGGTTTGTTCAAAAGCTAGAAAAACCTGTATGGGATTGACTTAGTACCAGCCACTACAGGTTATCATAAGTGAAGTATTGTGCTGACATAAAAACTAGGAAGTTTAAATGTCTAAACCGGTCGTGTAGAGTATCAATTTTAATTTGGAGAGCTCAATAATAACGTCTTTGACTATAAACTTCAGTGAGTTAGGTTTTCAGTTATAAGCAGAAATGTTCCGCTTAAAAATGTTGATGTCTGTTGCTGGTAAATAGTGACATATCCATATTTAATCATCAACCACTGAATGGTAGGTTTGAGTCTCACCTGAAATACTTCTGTTTAGGTAGGTGGTGACACTAGATCTAACATAAACCAAACATGTTTAGGCAACAGGTCACATTTATATTGATGATTAATGAGTCAACTTGCAACCTCTTGAGAAACACATTTACTTGCTATCATATATTGTCATATCTAGAGGTTTGATTCTTAATATACCATGTATAATGTGAGCACTCAAACACTAGGACCCTCCAAGTCGTAAATAAGAAGACAGAAGACAAATGAAGGGAATACTGTTCCAAATAGTGTCAAATATGTTACAAAACTGTTACGTATTTATAGTTTTTTAGTAAAAACGATTTCATCATTATAATCATTCAATCTACATACACGGGGTTTTAGCATATTTGCATTAGGGAAGCTACACGTAAAGATTCTGGAATATTCTTCCAGAAGATGATTAGATGGAATATCTTCGGCTCTATCACAGCTTCTTAGAGCTTCCTAAAGTTCGCCTGTGGGCCACCCTCGCACCTTCTCTCTTTAAAATCTTTTGTGTAGGGCATTTTCCTCGGGTCCATCTCACACTTGATCACCACAATTCTCCAGCAATCCATAACTCTTGAAGGTTGTTCCGCTTTCCTCTTTCGTCTTTTATCTCTTCTACATTCGTTCCTCTTAGGGCTTTTTGAGATGAGTTTAGGAGTATTTGAAACAGGAGTCAGCATTGTGTGATCAACTTTTAACAAACTTTACACAATATACTACAGTAATAATTCCTAGAGTTCACTCATTTTTATGGATAAGTCGTGAATCTGTAAATTTTGACCGGAAGTTAATACATCTATACTGAATTAAGAGTCATCATTCAACCATCAGTTTAAGTAAATATTTTCCAATGTTACATGATTAGAATAAATTATTTCATTCTATTTTTCCTAAATTCCCCTTTTACATTTTATCTGTTGTTTAATCTAGGCTGAATATTTATTGAAGACAGGAATTTCACAGTGAATCAACTACACTATTTTGATGAGATTTTAAAACAAAAGAAAAATGTAAAAAGAAAACCAACAAATGAGTATAGTTTGCATTTTCAAAATACATAACCCTCGAGTACATGTAGTATTTGTTTCAGCTTTTTTTATGGAATAAATATCTCACTCAAACATCAGTTATTATCAACTATTCAATATCAAATATTTCAGAAAGCTATACAACTTGATTTAGAAAAGTAATCAGTGAATATTAAATCTACATAATTTCATTAAAGCTGAGGACTTGTTGACATGGTGTTGATAATGATTTGTGTACTCAATATATCATACTTGAAAAAGTTTAGAAAGTCAGACTTGGCATTTTTCACCGTAGTGTTTGATGAGATGTGGTTACTCAGTCTATCTAAGTTCTTAGATATAAATTGGCAATGTAGTGTAGGTTTTTGTTTCCAACAATTGGTATCAATTAAAGATATTTTTAGACTATTACCATTAATCAAAGTTAACTCAGACTGAATCGATAAACTCTATAGTTTCAGCTGTGTTAAGTAGATTTAAATTATAGGAACACATGGATGAACCTTATTGAAGAAATGATCTACATACAATATTAACACTTACTTTTAGTTTCGAATAACAGACATATGTGATAACTGTTAATAATGTGATAATGTCTGTAAAAATATTAGTCTTCTTGTTTAGTGGTAAAGTAAGAGAATGAAACAAAAATACAGTAAAAATCGATCTTGTAATACTTATTGTCATTCTACGGTTAGTTAGCTAGACAAGTAGATAGAACAAAAGTTATAATTTCAAGTTATATTCACTTATATGAAATGCTGGTGCAAATGTAAAAAATACCGAATATTGATCCACTAATATAAATTCTTCAAACTTATGTGGTGAAAATACATGTTGCCATAATCTAAGGTTGATTATAGGAAGATCAGAAGTCGATAATCGCGGGGTATGTATTTTGTTTCTGTTTAGGACTACATAGAAATACCGGTCCACCTATTCTGACAGAATCCACTACAGGTTATTCAAGTCTCACGCAGTTACTACGATATCGATGAGTCACTGAGATGGAAAACAATTCTCCACGTTTTGACAGTTGTTGAAAAACAAAATGACACGAAACGTCTTTTCTTATTTGGAGACACAAAAAGATGGGCTCATATCCGTCCTGTTCTTTTGCTATTTGGCATTGATTTGTAGAGTTGAGTCAAATTGCGGTTGACTATGAACACCATTACAAGAAGAGCGCGTAACAGAAAATTAGAAGGTGAAAGGAGATTGTAACCAGATTTATTCGTTGGCGATCTCGTGGTATCGAAAGTATACCGAGATCGTGCCGAAGAAAAATACAAACAGAATCAATGGACGAGCGTACGTGCGTAAAAGGCCACAGTCTACGGAAGAAGAATGGAGGAGTAATGGCTGTCTTAAGTACAGTTAAACAAATAAACAGTAAAACAATCACTGATACAATTGGTTATAATAATAATTGTCTCCATCAAACCAATCGCTTTCTGTTGGTAAAAGTAGGTCACTACAGGAACCCCACTGCTAGAAAGGGTTTACACTTTCGATAGGTAGCGGTTTAATTCGTGGGACTGATCAGCGAACGTACGACTGTAGGACGAGAGGTTTGGCGGAATAGGAAGCGGTCGTTGATCCTCAGGTTGCCAAAGAAGGTCTTTTACGGAGAACGGTACCAGGAGAAATGTGCTATAATTGTTGCTCAAGTTAGCATACCACACCAAAGTGGTTTGTATCCAAGATCTGAAGATTGCGTTCGTAAGGGTCCGGACCAGAAAACGCCGCAGACGTAGGGCGAAACCACGTTGAGCCAAGAAACCAGAAGCGACCATAACAACCAGGTTCGAGACCATGCGTATGCCAGGCAGATTCGAAACCAGAATTTCGACTGAGTGCGTCGACAAGGCCAGCTTTCTCCAAGGTTGACTGAAGTCGACGATACCAAAAAGGCAACGATCAGAGGCGTGGGCTCAGGTTACAAGAAAAATCAAAATAAAAGAGTAAACGTGTAGCACGCATGTAGTATAGGAATAGTCCTACACTGTGTCCATTGTTGATTGTTCGGTTAGTCGCGAACACGTAGGAAAGGCGTATTCGACGACCGGCACATGAGAGGGTAGTCTCGTTCGTACTTCGTGAGCCTACATTCTCATCCGCAGTCAAGGGCGGCGTGGTCTGCTGATCTGGACGTGAGACTGAAGTCTCGTCCGTAGATGGTGCAGATGACACGTGCTGTTGACCTGGACGTGAGAATGAGATCTCTGACGTATCCAACGTGGGACCTGAACTAGATGTAAGGATCCCACTGATAGTTTTGATAGGTCTAGCATTGAGTCTCGAGTTAACTGGTAAGGCTCTGTCATCGACGTGTGCTGATTTGAGACAATCAATGTTGACGATCTCGACGCGGCGATGCCGATCAACCTTGAAAGTCTTTTCGTGGCGAGACATCACGTAAAAAGGTCCTCCGTAAGGCTGTTGCAGAGGTTTGTGTACTGAATCTACTTGTATGCAATCATGTGAACAGGTAGATAACACTCGACGGAGAGCGACCTGTCGATGTTGTATTTGAGTTGACACCGGAGACAATGTTCGCAAAATTTCAGACAGTCGATGGATGTAGTCTGATTTGCCGAAATCGTTACTGCTCCGTGGTGTGAAAAATTCTCCAGGCAGACCCAATGTCGTGCCGTATACAAGTTCAGCGGCGGGACATTGAATATCTGCCTTTCAGCTCATTCTGATACCTAAGAGGATGAGCGGCATGGTTTCGTACTAATTGTCGTTTTCATGTGCTCGAAGAGCACATTTAAATTTGCAATGAAACCGTTCAAGTAAACCAATTGATGCCGGGTGGTATGCAGTAGTGCGCGTGCGTTACGTAAAAGCAGCCGGGTTAGCAAGGAGAATAATGCGGGCTCGAATTGTTGGCCTCAGTCAGTCGTGACAGTTGAGAGACAACCGTACAGCGCTATCCATCGTTCTGCGAAGCTTTGAGCAACTGTCTCCGCCGTAACAGACGTGATGGGAATACCTTCGGGCCACCTTGTAAAATGGTCGATGCACGTGAGTATGTGATCACACCCATGCGATGGTGGTGAACGTGATCGAAACGAGCATCAGGCGTAGCGAACGTGCCAAGGAGGGCAGCTACGTTCCTGCGCACTTTTGATCGTTGACATTGTAAAAAAAATGAGCACAGTAAAACAAAAATTGGTTATAATAATAATTTCTTCCATTAAACAAATCACGTTCTCTTGGTAAAAGTAGGTCACTACAGATTAAACAAAACATTTGACTTATCACTAATCAGGACGAGAATAAACATGATTAAGAAATGTAAGATATGGAAGACAGTAGATTTTATGCACATATCAGGTAAAAATCAAGCATCATCCCAATCCTTTTGCCAGATGTGATTTATGTGTCGTCAGTGTATGCAATCATTAAGACTACATTCAGCTATTTATTGACTATGTCTAGAATACAGAGGAAAATGGCTACACATTATTGTTCATCTCGCATGATAACTCCATCGATATTTACGGATACTGGATTGATTACTCACTTTGAAATCGGTCATATTTTATTTGTGGACGTCTTATGTGAACAGTTTTCCTTCATTTAAGAATTGCAGAAATATCACACAACTACTCAGTAGCTACGCAACTTCGAGTACTTAAGAATCGGCAGTTAACCTGTAGTGACTCACATTTATCACGACAACCCGACTGGTTTAATAAAAGCAATTATTATTATTATAACCAATGGTACCAGTGTTTGTTTTAATGTGTTTTTGTTTGACTGTGCTAATGACAGCTATATTGTGCTTCCATTCTTATTCACACACTTCGATTGTAACTTCGCGCGAATTCGGTTACGTTCTGTAACCAAGCTTCTATCCTGGCACGATCTCGGCATCCTTTCGATGCCACGAGATCGCCAGTGAATACATCTGGATTTGGTCCGTTAATTGCCTTCTCGGGGATTTTATGGAGTCATTTGGAACGAGCTTCTTGGTAGCGGTGTTCATAGTCAATCTCAACTCGACGCCACGGTACAAACCTACCGAAATAGAACATTGTTGGAAATTCGGTTGAGTTCAACTTGTCAAATCCAAATGAATAATATGTGAATACTATCTGCTATGGAAAATTATTACATGTTTTCTTATTAGGTGACTACTAAGGGATTAGATTATATGCATATTCATATTCCTCTTATCATCACCTTTCATCTTACCTATTAGCAACTGTCTTAAGATTTACCTTAATTTATTTTCACTTTATCAGTTACACTCCTCAGTACTCACTGTTACATTTGGTTTGATCTTGTATAATTACCACTTTTTATTTTTTAGTGTGATGCGGTTTTGTATACTCGTAAATAAACCACTTATGTCTGAAATAGACGGTTCATATAGGGAAGGTTGATAATTGTGCTCTGGACTGAAAGCAGTGTGTTAGAGGCGAGAATATACTAAGCAGAGGACTAATAAGGACTTGGGGTAGACTCACGGTTGCTCCTGCTGGTTAACACACCATCATAGCATAGGGAAAAAGGCATATAAGTCAGTGTTTTGGTTGGTGATTTTGTCACGTTATAGTTGACAGAGCTATTAGTAATAGCACAACTCTTGGTCATATACCAACTTCATTATAGAGCTTGCGAGGTGTTTTTCGACACTGGAGTACATGAAAGATTAGTTAAAATCATACAGAGTTCATTCGACGGACCACACTTCAATGTCGTGAGTGGAGGACAGCTGATAGACACATTCTAAGTAAGAACCAGAGTCAGGTAAAGCTGCTAGGAAGCACGCACTGCAATGAACTGCCTGCTTGTAAATATATGATTCGGAATGGACAGGTGACCTAGCAACTCTACCTCATGTAAACCAATAAATGCAGCGAAAGACAGTTTAGCATCAGCTTGAGCATCGATGGGCCTCAACATACACAAGTCAGAAAGCAACATCTTAAAATGCAACAGAGAGCACCGACATAATCACACTTGGTGGAAAAACTCTGAAAAAGGTGGAATCCTTCGTGCATTTGGGCAGCAGATTGGTGTGAGTCACTTATGCTGACAAGAATAAGTAGTACGCGGCAACAGTCGAAAATGGAATGCATAGAAGCAGAAGATTTAATTGAAGAGAATAGAAAGGTGATCAGAGAGCAATCAAAATGACGACAGTATCAGAGGAATAAACGAATAGGTAAAGGACAACACAAAAAATGATGTGCAAATGATGTGTTCAGTGTATGATTTTCAAACTGGCATTACGGCTTATAATACACTGGTTTTCGTCACCGAAATTCTCGTTCCCTACAACATCATTGATAAACAAGGAGGATCTGATGCATATGTGAAGACATCAAACTAACATCAAGACAATTCTTGTATACGGAACTGAACCTTCTAGAACCACCACAACCATCATAAAAAATATACAAGTATCTGTGATCAGTGGTCTATTAAACACCCATTGACCGGATATCATCAGCAACAGTCTTCTGTGTAAGAGAACAGACCAACTTCCAGGTCAAGAGGAAATTATGAAAAGATGTTGTCGGTGAATAGGTCATACATTGAAGAAATCGTCAAATTGCATGATGAGGGAAGTGAATAGTGGAAGGCTGACAAACATATTGCGTCGGGAATCGGAAGCAGACATGAAAAGTATGGATAACAACTGGAAAGAACTGTAGAGGATTTTGCAGGACAGAATTGGATGAAGAATGTTGGTGAGTGGCCTTCGCTTCTACATGAAGGGCAACTAGCGTAAGTAAGTAGTAAGTAAATAGGCTTATGACTTTATCATTGGCACCCAGTGATACAGCAAAACTTGTAAAAGATACATGTAAGTATTCTGGAACGGTCGTGATTCTATGTAAAGAGGTTGAAACAATCAATGCACGCATAAGTTTCTTGGTTTTTACAAAAGGAGAGAAGACTTACCACAAAATCCCGTATTTGTATTTATACTTTGATGATAGAGTAATCATTCTCCGCACACTGAGACCTGCGGTTATTTCCGACTTTTATTTTGCCCATGTGAGAGGAGAGAAAACGAAATTGCTCGCTCATGAGATCTTTTGGCGGCCAGGGAGTGGTGCTGATGCTAGTCAAAAATTGAAAAAACTGTGCCTCTAGTTTACATTTGCTATCGTATAATAAGTCTATTTGTAATCCCTTGCCGGCATTCTGTGAATGGTAGAAACGTATTCATGCGGATTACTATGACATATTTTTAAACTCATGTTATGCTTTAGTTATCGATCTGTATTTTGCCAGACTACAGAAAAGCCCAGCTATTATTATTTATGAAGTCGATTGATATTATTGTACAGATAGTGTCTAGTTTTATTGGAAATACTTATTTCAAGGGTGACCAGTACTTTGAGCAAACAAGTGGCTAGTCAATCTCTTAAATGTAACGTCTTCCCAAACCACTAGTTACTTAAAGAAGGGTTTGAGGACACTGATGAATTTTATGCAAATATGACGACACTGGAATGGACAGTTAGAAAACATATGACATATGGCATCGTATTTGAATACGGAAATTTGAATACCTCAAGAAAAACGCAATGAATTAGCATTTTAACCTTTCCTGAGTGTGATTTTTTCTTGGAAATTGTTAGTAGAAACGAAGTGCTTGGTTAGATGATGATGGTAATTGTGTCAATAATGGTTCGAATCATAACGTACGCTGTGCTAATGCTGAATCCCCAGTTTTATATAATCCTGAAAAAAGATAAACATAGAACTTTTCATTCATTAAATAAACAACGGATTTCCATTGATTGATCTAGCTTTTAACTTTAGGAGGGAATTGTATTTTTACTACGTTAAAATCTAAAATTTCACCTTGTCCTTTGAAGCAAGTTTTTTGAAATAGCGAGAGCATTATACTGTTGTGCTTACATGTGGATTATTATTACGTTCTTGCCCGTTATGTTTCTTCGCTGTATGTCACACCACTTTTGGTTACCACTTTTATACTTAAAAACTGGTCTTATGCAGTAAAACGTTTTGGCTATCATGGTTCTCTTTCAGGTCTTCTCCAAAATGTGGTGGTGAGATTAAAATTTATGGACGATCTTGATGCCACGCCATAGTGATTTTCAAAATACTCAACAATCTACTAGAATCAAAAGCGGGTTATAGATTATTGTTAGAAATCAGATTTAGTGTTAAAAGGCAGGAGATACGGTCAGGAGTTGAGTTTGAGTTTTCATCATCAGTAAATTTGTTAACGCGTTTGAACTTTAATGCCTGTAGGTAGTCGGGATGATTATACGGCACAGTGGCACGTTTCGTTCTTCCATAGGGGGTTCAATATGTCACATATCTAATAGTATCATCATCTCGAATTCTGTAGTATTCCAAGTGTACAGTCCTGCTTTTATTTTTTTGAACAAATTCGGTTTGAGAGTGATGTGACTTGAAATTGGTCTTGTATTCAAATACTTACGATCAAGTCGTCAATAATCTTAGGTTTGACGGTTGTCATGTGTTACTAACCCGAATTCATGTTTTTTAACGATTTGCTTTATGCTAAAGTGCCTTTAGTTCTGTTTTTTAGACTAGCCTTTATTTGTTCTTAACATCGGATTCTATCTTTTTTCCGAGTTGCAGTAGAAAACAAGATTAAGGTTAGAAATTTTAATGAAGATCATTACTCATTGTTTCATATGCTTGGCTCTGAGCTATTATTTTTGTATGTCTTAGTGATTTAGTCCTGTTATCGAAAGCGAAGTAGATAAAAAGGAAATCTGACCATTCCATCTAGATTTTTTGTTATATTCTACTTTCATTGTAGATATACACTCAATGTTGCTTTCCACTTAAATAAGGATCTTTTTAACGCCCTGATAGACTTGTTTTTATTGATCGAAAACCCAATATGTCCATGAAACTATATTATACTTAATTATATCTGTCTCACAGTTATTCATATATTACGTGCAACTGTAAAACCGTAAAACTACTTGACAATAATTGTTATTCTATCTTGGTAGTTAAGACTGTCCACTGTAATGACCTAGTCTAGATATATTAACCGGAACTGATGTTTCCTAAAGTTTTATCGTACTATGAAAAACATAACTCGTTGACTGGCTACTTATTTATGTACTCGTGTTTGAGCTTGTTAAAAGTTTAGTAACACTGCTGGACTTTCGAAACTGTATTATTTGAGGCGTGTACCTGTAGACTCCACTGCTACTTCTCACGGTCTCACCGGATTAGATGTAAAACTACGTTTAAAAACAACACATTTTTAGACTGGATTTCAATAGACAGCCGAATGAACAGGACAGTAAGGACTTAAAAAGTTTATGACACACGCCGTTGCCTCTTCGTTGTCTACGCTTTCCGTCCTATTAGCCGCAGATTAGATGAAATGAATTATGAATTTCCAAAAGTTCTTTCCATCCCCCTTCAAAATACTAGACACTCATATTTAATAATGGTGAGAGATGATTTTACTACCCAAGTAGTTAAACCTATCCAAATTGAAAGACACTTGATTGGTGTGAAGCATGCTTATTAAGAATGGAATGTACTTTTTGGTTGGTACTTATCCATAATTGTCTTTAAGCACCGCTCATGTATTTTGGCCTCACCAAGTGAGTGTCAGTGAGATTACTCATAGAGTCCTTGGTAAAGCTGACAAATTGGTTGGTCAGGCTGTGCATCATAAAATGTGGTGATTAAGATTTACGTAATTCCAACCACCTCCTACCTTTACACGCGAAGTTGTTTGGTGTATGAATAGTCTAGAAGAAATTTATGGGCGACCAAAGCGAGACGTGACACTACTCGATAAAATCGTTGGTAATTGAACATGGGTGTAGACTGTGACTGGGGTCCACGTGATCATCGTGGCCAAATGGCTACGGACTTTGGGCGACATGACCCAGACTCTTTGTCTTCAAAAAGTGAATGGTCAAATATCTCTATGCTTTTGTTTTTCTACTCCTGGTCTACTGTCACTGATACTTTTACCAACAGTACTACTACTGTGGCATTTGTCTCGATAAATGTATCTCTCTGTACTCGTGTGGCATGGCAGCTTGGATCGATTCAGGTTCTCCGTTGCTCATGATTGACTGAATAGGTTAGGATTTGAATTTCGCAATCTATTGAATAAATCCAAGTGTCGTGATCGCTATTCACCACTTTCTTTATTTTACTTGATATCTCTGTATGATCAGTGAGCTTATAGACAACTAACTATGGGTGAGAATGCAGTCACACTTTTGAGCATTCGTAGTGATAGTAGCATTAAAAATTTTCTTAAGAATTATCAGCATTCCGAGTTTAATAATCAATTATGCATCACGTTCACGTCCCACTTCGTCTTATCATGTTTAAACAACCAAATAACGTTATTCTATTTATTACCCCAACATAGAGTATTACTGAAAACTTAGTAAATATACGTACTGAGTCGCGCACATAACAATTCTTAGAATTCTGTCGTACTTGATCACTTTTCCTATTCCCCCCACTGATCTTAACTGCCAACGGTAAGCTTTTTAAAGTTTCAAATCAATGATTGCACTAATCAAGACAATTACATTTGCGTTCAATTTCAAAAAAGTTATCGTTTGGCCTTTGTGGTCACGCCTCCAGACATATTAGATACTAACGCAGTTAATTTTTTACACTTTTCAAGAAGAAATGTAATCTCATGGTGTGAGCAGTTAGAAAGCATAAATCTCGCACAGTATGCAAAGTCAGTTGATTATTATTTAGTTAGGTTATTTATCAAGGTTTACTTGTTGATCCATGTCGAAATTAGTCCCAGTGAAAACTTTATCGTATGTGAAGTCAATCAAATTGAGCTGTTATTATCCTCTAACAGCGATTGAATGATAATAGAGGTTGAAAAATGATTTATTAACGGGATATTTATTGTGTTAATTATCAAACCTGAAGAGTCTGCGCTCGATTCTGTATTAAGTTGTAGTTACCCTTTTTTAAGTTCCGAACTTAGACAAATTATCTAACCAATGCTCGAACGATTTAAATATTACACTACTGTTCCATATCCGTCTACCAACCAAAGGACGAGTTTGCTGCGCAGCAGTTCGTTCCGTCCTACTTCATGGCTGTGAAACAGCCAGTAAGAGTAGATGATATTTGTAGGTTACTAGTATTTGACCATAGGTGTCTTTGAAGCATTACTCGTATATCCTGGGACCACCGAGTAAGTAATGTAGTTGTTAGGAAACGGGTACTAGGTGAGGATGGCAAATCAATTGATGAAGTACTGAAACTTGATCAGTTGAGATGGCTGGAACATGTGTTACGTTTGCCCAACCACTGAATGCCCCGACGTGCGATGTTTCATGGTGTAGGAGTACGTTGGAAGGAAGCTAGGGGCAGCCAGACCAAAACATGGCACAAATCCATGAAGTCACTGACAAGTGGACTGAGTCATGTTGGTAGGTGTAAGCTACCTGGTTGGAATCCGCCAGACGATAACAACCGATGGTTAGAGACCTTGAATGACATGGTTCAAAATCGTTTGCAATGGTTCAGGTGCATCTACTCTTTGTGTTCTCTCAAATTCTAATCTTCTGTATTCTTCATGTCTCTTATTTATTCACTTTCTGAATTTATTTCACTGGATTATACTCCTCGAATAACATCTTCGAACCCTAATCTTTTCGATTACTGCTTATACTTTTACTGCCTTTACCACTACGGGATCTGAATAGACAATTGTATCTATGTGCTTATGTAGTATGGCAACTTGAACTGATATACGTATGTACGAAGTTCTACGTTGTTGCTGACTGACTGTTATTCCATTCACATAAATAATCATTCATTTTTATAATATAATTTTATAGAAATTATATTCATATAGTCAACATAGAAAAGCATATAGAGGTATTTGTTTAACCAGTTGTAGATCACAGTTTATCATATGAATGATAACAATTTTATTCAAATATTCTACATTAAAATGTAATAAAAATATTTCATTGATTCAAGTCCCTATTCTCAGTTTTGTGTATGCATATTCATATGGTTAATAGTGTTTATCATATCATGAATTCATTAAAGTGGAAAGTGATTTTATCTCTTTCATAACCTATCTAGTCATTGAATAGTTTGTGTATGTTACAAGTAAGAAACATTCATTGATTGAGAATTTATTTACTTGTCAAATAAATTCTGTTAATATGGAATGTAATTACTACAATTTATGGTTAAGCTTTTTGTATTATTATTATTATTATTATTATTATTATTATTATTATTATTATTATTATTATTATTATTATTATAGTACTGTTATGGTTATCACTATGATTGTTATCGTTATCATTTATAGTAACTTACACCACTCCCATAATTAGTCTCATATTTCGTTCTCTTTAAAAAAAAGAAATTCAGCTACTCTTTTATGCATTAGATTTATTATTAATGATAAGATTTCCAACGTCCTATACATTGAGATATCGTTGATTATTTGGTCATTTTATATAAAACAGATGTTAGGTATATCCATATTATGATATGATCTTGGGTTGATTACTATGTTTGAACCAGTAATACTAATATCAGTTAGTCAGTCAGTAACAACGTAGAACTTCGTACATACGTACATCAGTTCAAATTGCCATACCACATTAGCACAGAGATGCAGTTGTCGATTCGAATCCCATAGTGGTAGAGGTAGTAAAAGTATAAGCAGTAATCGGAAAAATTAATTCGAGTATAATTCAATGAAATAAATTTGGAAAAAGAAAAAAATAAGGGACATGAATAGTATAGAAGCTTAGCATTTGGAAGAACACAAAGTGGATGCATCTGCGCCATTGCAAACAATTTTGAACCATTTCATTCAAGGTCATTAACCATCGGTTGTTATCGTCTGGCGGATCCCAACTAGGTAGTTTACACCTAACAATATGACTCAGTCCACTTGTCAGTGACTTCATGGATTTGTGCCATGTTTTGATCTGTTCGCCCCTAAGTTTCTTCCAACTTACTCCTGAATGTAAGATAGTTGGAGGTTAGAGGTAGTCAACGAGAAACCTTAAACCCAGGTTTTGTACTATTTGCCACTCGTCAATAGATCTTAGATTTTGGCACGTAATTCATCTATCCATTTCGTTAAATAGAGTTTTAACGTTATAGCTTATGTCAGTTCATGATGAAAACTTTAACTATCGACTGTAAGTCGTAATTCTAATTCCCCATGCTGGCTTATAACCCTAATTAGGTAAACAATCTCAAGTTCATTCTTGCGTCGCTCAAAGGTCATCCACAAATTATGGTTTCACTACTTTAACTTAAAAAAAAAACACTGATTGTATAGCCAAAGTTTACAATTAGAAGAATAAAAAAAACCCTACAAACTGAATGTTTAATTAATACATGTTAAATATATCAATATTGATCTGTCAAAATTAACTCCCAGATTTTGTCATTCTCATTGATTTGTCTTATCTCAACACAATTTTACTTACCAGTTAGGAACTGTCAAGTATAAAAGCCAACGTATGGGAAGTACTTTCTATATGTATTCTAATAGAGTACACATGTATACAATTTTCATGATGTTCTGTTATAAAGAATTTTCTAATGATTACTTAGAAACTACAATGCAATGAATTCAAACGGTGTATCCTACCTTATCTGGAAACAACTTCCAGTGTTTAGTATTTCATTACTTATTTATATTCTTGAATTTGCTCGTTTCTACTGTTGAAATTCGGTGGTTTAATTAACTTTAACTACCTACCCATTTAAGTTCTAAGTTCAAATGTTCTCTCATATTTTAGGCCTAACTAAATGAATAACATGCAACTTACTTACTTACTTACGCCTGTTATTTCCAATGGAGCATAGGCCGCCGACCAGCATTCTTCAACCCATTCTGTCCTGGGCCTTCCTTTCTAGTTCTATACAATTATTGTTCATTCTTCTCATGTCTGTCTTCATTTCTCGGCGTAATGTGCCGTTTGGTCTTACTCTTCTCCTTTGACCTTGTGAGGACTTACCTTGTGACACAGTTATGTGCTTTCCTTAATGTGTGTTCTATCCACTTCCAACACTTCTCCCTGATTTCTTGCCCCGCTAGGATCTAGTTTGTTCTCTCCCACAGTATGATATTGGTGATAGTTTCTGGTCAACGGATCCGAAGTATTTTGTGTAGATAACTGTTAATAAACACTTGTATCTTCTAGATGATGGGTTTCGTAGTTCTCTATGTTTCCACTCCGCTACATAACAACTAAGATTTATAAAATAGATATATAGTTATACAATTTGTTTAATGATATTTATTATTATCAGAATGGGTTTTGTGGAGACTTTTAGAAATTTCACTGTTTGAAATCGTGAGTCGATTGAATTTAAAGCACCATGGAAAACCTGGAAGCACTGAACTGCCGTTTCGTCTCATCATGAGACTCCTCAGTAGTGCGCATCCATCGTGGATTGGTTGAAGTTAGACATTAACACCGTTGGATGCCAGTTCAGTGGTCTAGTTGGTTAGGGGCCTGGCGCGAGACTGATAGGTCCTGGGTTCGAATTTCTCGGGGGGGCGGGATCGTGGATGCGCACTGCCGAAGACTCCCATACTAGGACGAAACGGCCGTCCAGTACTTTCAGGTTTTCCATGGTGGTCTAGCTTCAATGGACTCATGATTTCAACCAGTGTTAATGATATTTGATATATTGAATTTATTTATAATACTTTCTTTCAAACAAAATCTAATTTTTTCTCTTTCAGATTTTACATGCCTCAAAACTTTGTTCAGTCATTGAAAAAATGTGAGAAACGCTTCAATTTTATTGTTCCCGAAAGAAAGTTTGATATTGTACGGCTAATCTTTAATATTCTATTGTGTATCATTTTGAATATATTTAATGTATGTAAGTACATTATTTTCATTGTATGTCAATTTTAAACTTTTTCCCCCTCTATATCTAATATTACTGTAAGGTTTTTGTTCTAATGATGCATTATTAATATCAGTAAGGAGAAAGCATAATGTTTGATAAAGTACTATAATTGAGTTTATTGAATTTGAACCCTATTTCTTTAACATAACTCCTCTAATATATAAGTGTCCAGATGCATAAAATTTTCATGTATAATGAATTCTCATAAATAAATTGTCTATTGTGAGTAGACCAATTAAGTGGAGACTATGGGTGACAGGAAACTGGGTGATATTGCTCAGAATAGATCACAATGGCGTAGGTGTATACACTCTCTGTCTTCCCTGTACTATGAGATTAAAATCGCTTTATAGCTTTCTTTCTACGAACTCATTTCTTCCTGTACTATATTCCTGTATTTAATCTTTCTTTTATATATTACCACCATTGAATTAACTACTTCTATGAATCCGGTATTCATGTTGTTGTCCTAATGAAGTATGGCAACTTGTACCGATCCATATATGTGCCTGGTCCTCCGTTGAAGCTGACTGACTGACCAATTAACTCTGAATATGAACTATTTCAATTGTAACACTAAACATGTTTATTAAAATTAAAAGTATTCGTTTTCATAACTTTTTCACATCATACATTATTTTATTGTATATTCAATGTTTAAATATATTTCGAGGCCATTGTTAGATAATTTTTCTAGATAGGTTTTGCTTGTTATTAGCATTTATCATTGATGAGGTAGTGTATATATAATCTATAGGTTATTGCATATTTAAGAAGAAGCGACATTTTAATGATGTTATTAGTTTATTTTCAACCAGTGAGCTGCAGGTTCGAACCCTCTCTTCTTAGTTCAGTTTGGTGAAAGTTGGGTAATATTGCTAGATCTCATATAAGACGTTGGTCAATTTCGTAAAGTTGCATTCGATTACAAAGTCACATTACAAATAGCGACCTAAACTGTTAAGTGGTAACGTTTCAAACAGTTAATCTAGGTAGTCCTAGTTAGAATCCACTAGGGAATACTGTTTCCCTCAAATTTTAGGTACACCTTAAAGCCCAATGTCAAATAGCAAAAGCATTTGATTCACGACTTAACACTGACTATCTAAACCGATCACAATTTCTTAGTTAGTATTTAATAGTTATGTAAGACAGATTAGTATGAAATTTTCAATAATTACAACTCTGTTATTATTGAATGTAATGTGTCAACCAACTAGTTAATTTACTTTTAGTGATTGTGTTTCATTTATGCTCTCTTTCCAATAATTTTATAGTTGAGATCATGAGTCAATTGAAGCTAGACCATCATGGAAAACCTGGAAACACCGAACGGTAGTTTCGTCCTACTATGGGACTTTTCAGTAGTGCGCATCCACAATCATGATCTCAACTATTAAAATTACTATAATATCCACAAAACCCCTTCTGATATTGATAATTTTATAATTTAGATTTCCTTTAAAAATTATAACATACATACAAAATAAATCTTGTTCATATCCAATTTTAGTGAGCCATTAATCAATTCGAATAAATCATCTTCATCATCATCATCAAGTCGTGATTTATTCAGAACGAATTTGATAAATAGTCAATCAAATTATTCTACTGTTAAAGTGAACCCGGTGAATAGATTACTGAAACGTATAACATCCCCAACAACTATTAATTCCTTATCTTCTATTGCTTTTTCCACTTCATCTAATAACGATCCATATAATTTTGATCTTTTATGTAATTCTCCTACTTCATCAATAATTTCTAATGAAGCTGATCATCATCAGATGATCATCACCTCTACTACTATTACTATTACTACTACTACTACTACTACTACTACTACTACTACTACTACTACTACTACTGCTGCTGTTCTTCCTATTCTTCCATCTTCTTGTTGTAATACTATACAATCGTCTATCAATAATTTAACACTAAATAATGACAATAGTACAATATCATCAAGTGATTTATTATTATTTTCAAAATCTGAGCAAAAAAGATTTACTGATTTATGTATTAATATTTTTAATAACGAGAATGATGATAATAATCCCACCATTAGTTCGCCCAATTCTCCAATTTCCTCTAATCTTATATGGAATACTACTCATGCTATAAGTGGTAAGAATAAGAACCACAACAACGAACGAGCAGCTATATTATCAGTGAGAAAGGAACATACAATGAACAATAATAATAATAATAATAATAATAATAATAATAATAATAATAATAATAATGCTTCATCTAATTATTCTGCTACTAAAGTTAATCCAAATGAAACGCCTACTAGTTTAGTAAAGCAACCAGTTCATCCAAGAACAACATTAAAATGTCCGTTTTGTGATAAAGTAAGTATGTATTTTTTTCATCATTTTGTTAAATTACCTTATGTAATGTGTATGTATTAAGTGGTTCTGAGTAGTTAGTAAGAAACCCTGAACCTAGGCTTCTTTCTTGTTGATGCTGGACTGTAGGGTGTATCTACAATGTTGGGAAAACTTATGTCCCTTGTGGGATTTAGATCCATGTCATCTTGCTTTACAATCTGGAATGTTGTCACCGTAGTATTCAGGCTACATGAAGTCTCGGTGGAAATGTTTCCTACTGTGGACATAGATCCAGTGTTTCTTGTTGACCACATCTATTTAATATCTCAGCATAGTATGTTTTATGTTGAGTCACCCGGATTAGTGGCCAGACTGCATCTTGATCGATAAAATTCGAGCAGAGCTAAAAACACTAGATAAATATGACATTGGTCACTACATAGTGTTAAAAAGTTGTTAGTTATCTTTCAGCTATCATCAACTTGGAACCGATGTGTGTTGATGCAAGTTCCTACACAACATAAACACGACGAAGTGAAATTGACACAAGGTGTATAAACGTTGGATTAATGTAATATTAATGACAGTGAAAAATTATTTTTTACAAATATAATTTCCCTCCTTAATGTCATTTAGAATACTTTTGGAAAAAAAGATTGTACATGTATTTGTATTGTTCTCTTATTCTGTGATCTTATATCTTTTATTTAATGCGTTGTATCTGATTATTTCGTCTGGATGTAAATGAGTAGTAAGTATTCTAGACCATTAACTGTTGAATACATGACATTGGGTGATTATCGTGCTATACTGCAAATTCATTGTAGTTGAAATTGTACCATTTTACACCTATCCAATGCTATGCTTCCCCAGCGAGATCTGAAAGTCCTGGGTTTTACCCATAGATGGGTCGTAAATGCACATTGCTGAAGAGTCACATGCTAGAGCTAAACAACTGTCCAATGCTCCTTGGTTTCCAATGATATCTTAAATGATACCGATATATAAAGAATACGACTTACATATAAGTTTACTGTTGTGTGAAACCTCTGAATGGTTACTGAATTTATTAAATTTCCTGCCATTTTTTATCAAGAATAAAAATATGATTTTTCAATTGGAACAGAAAGGAAGGATATAAGTCTCAATGTTGATGTGAAACGTGACAATTTGTAGCAGTACGCCTTTATGCCTGTTCTTAGGAAGTTTATATCTGTTTATCTGGTGGATCTGTATGTTCAATATTCGCGTTGTCTCGAGATAATTGTTGACATTCTGTCGCAATACCGTGTTATAAGCATTCATGTTTAGCTACAAATGTTTGCATTTCGTAAAAAATCATTCATTTAATTGGGGGTGGGCGTTGTGTTTTTATTACAGTTGTTTTTTATTCATTTCTCCTTACAATGCTGTGGCAGCTTTCATACCCTAAACCCTAAGAAGCAGGAAGTTGCTCAGTTATTGATATGTCATGATGGGATTAACTTTTGTTGAGTTCGAATTTGTTGGTTTGTCATGACAAACTTCAGATAGAAGTCTATCTGAAGTTTGTGCTGATGATGTCGTTCAGAAGAACGATGAAAGCTCCACGACCAAACCATCCAGCTCAGCGAACAAAACTACATCAAATCCATCCACCTGAGCTACAAATCTTCTCCACCATCACATTTATTAAATATTGAATGCATTATAATTAATCACAGCGATAATGATGATTGGCAAGGCTTTTTTTATTTCGCAGAAAAAAATGTTTTGAAGTCATCATTTCAAGTCAGATTAGTCGTGAACTATTTAGTACATTTTAAACTATAATACTACTTAATTTACAGTATCTGAAACCAAATGGATTATATACAGCAAATAATAACTTTTTTTTTTTACAAAATTGGTTAGAAAAAATTTTATAATTAGATATTTTGTTTTATTTTTCTGCCTCTAGGTATTCAGTAATTCCAGTGCTATCGCTAAGCACAAGCTAACACATAGTGAAGAACGTAAATACATTTGTATTGTATGCCATAAAGCTTTCAAACGTCAAGATCATTTGTAAGTGAATGTTGTTTTATTGATATGTATGAATCCTTGTAACGTATTATTAATTGCATTTTCCCATCGTTAATCTTCAACAATATATATTAGGTGGTGTAGGAAATGGTCGGTAGAAAGTCGAGCGCATCCATATCAGCATAAGTTATTAATCCCACTGTTATGGGTCGTGTTATTTATTATTTGCATCTAACAGATTTGTATACTGGACTACGGGTCACACTCTGAGTGTAAGAGATTGTAATACTACTTAATTGCCCAAACGAAAGTAGATAGAGCAGGGTTCGGGTTTACTGCCTAGCGTTTGGTATTTAAACTTCTCAACCATTGAGTCGTACCAGAATGTATAAACGCTTTGATTATATCACATATGATAATCCTTTTCTATGGTTGAAGAGAGTTGGTTTTATAGCTGAAAAACAATCGAAGTGACATGAATATATTCATTATTTGTCTTCTTTTAAATCTACTAATATTCACTTTTTTTAATTCCTTAATTTCAACATTTTTATTGTTTTACTTAAATTATTATTTCAGCAGCATCAATATCGTTGTTGTTTGAACTCTTTTAGTTTCTATAGCATGTTCATTTCCTTTATCGAATGCATATTTTTATCAAACTGTACATTATTTATGACTTATGGAATTATAAGAGTGGGGTTTGCGGAGACTGTAGTATTTCAGCGGTTGAATTCATGAGTCAATCTAAGCTAGACCACCATTAAAAACCTGAATCGTTCACGTGCGGGGCTGAAGGTACTGAATTCCAGTCTCGCGTGAGGGGTCGTGGACGCGCACTGCTGAGTAGTTTCATATTAGGACGAAACGATCTTCCAGTGTTTCCAGGTTGTTAGTGGTGGTTTTGATAGATCCCAACTGTTAGAAAACATTTATGGACTAATACTATACATATATTTTTATTGTATAATTGTTAAGTAACTGAACTATGTATATTCATATTCCTCTTATTATAAGCTTTATTTTGACATATAGATTAGTATTGTACGATTTACAGTTCTTGCGTTATGCCCAGTCTATTAATTACAATCTCCCACATTCACAGCCAATTTTTGGTTAGATCTTGTACAAATATCATTTTCTATTTTATGGTGCGTTGTAGTTTGTTTGGTTTGTATATAAACCCAGCATGTTTGAAATAAATGATTCATATCACCGTGGCTGAGATTTGTGTTCTGGACTCAACAGGCAGGGCAAGGCAGAAAGTAGGATCGCTAAGGCCTCTAGACTGCTCGTACATGTTTATACGTCATTGGTCTGGTCGATAATTCATTGTTCTCTAATTGGCGGTATCATTTCATTATATATTAATAGGGCACATGGCGACAGGTTATAACAGGTCTAGCTTAGATTGACTTACAGGGTCATTTAGATTAACTAAACATAGTAATTCTGATTAGTGAGAAAGATATTCTCAGATCTTTTCGGAACATATTCTGGTAGTTACAAATAAACTAACATGTAAAAATAGAAAAACGATTGTGAACCCACGTTAGCGTATCGATGTATTAAAATATAAGCGAAGTAGAGAAAATGGTTATTAAGTATCCATCATTTAATATAAAAAGCTTGTTATTGACATTCTATAACTGTATACACTGTTGTCGAATGCTTTGGACGTAATAAAAGCAATACAGTTAATATGTCATTATTGTTATGGCTTTAATTATTCCGTTGTTCATATTGTGGACTGCATTGCTGATCAGTCTTAATTGACATATGTGTATCCTTTATGAACCGCCTCGGTATAGATATCTTATCACAAGTTTTATAGAATAGATTACTTATGGTTAGGAGTGGAATTCAGTACCCATATTTTATCCTATTGGAGAATTCTTATCTATCTGAACTCAGTAGCCCTGTGGATAAGGCATTGGGCATGTAAAGCTAGAGGTCCTCGGTTCGAGTCCTGTTGCATATATCAATATTTAAATTCAGGTACATCCAACTGACAAGTGCCAAGTAGAAAGAAATGGTCATTTTGGATCCTACTGTTAACCACAAACTATTTATTCCGTAAAACAACATTCTCAGATGTAATACTTAGTATTCTGAAAATGGTGCATTTATAGACGTTAAGTCGAAATTTCAGTCATTATTTTTGGTATCACTTTGAATTTATTATGAATTTGTTTCTTTAATAAAATAAAAACCAATTATACATTTTGTCTGTATCTCTTAGAGTTGGCTTTATTTTGAGTTTTGCTCTGATTGATGATATAGAAACTGAACGAAATAAAACTACAGTTACTGGGTATCAATATCATATGTTGGGCAGTAGCTTAATGGTTAAAACTCTTGGTTACTCATCACATAAAACAGTATGTCTTAATGATCAATAGATAAATGTATATGTTATATTTAAGTTACATTACAAATACCATATTCGATGTAGTCTTTATTAAATCCTATTGGGGTCAAGTTACTATGTGGCCCACTTGTTCTCCACTTTCCTCCACATTTTGTTCAGTTTTAGATGATTAGAGAAAAGTGACAACAAGACCTAAACTTCGGTTTGGTGGGTTCGGAATTAAACAAGATAAACAGCTGAAAGTGTTTGGTAAAAGAAAACTCATTTACTAATTAACAGTTTATGTACACTTTAGTTGTGCGAGATGTAGTGATCGATCATACGTTGCTAGCCAAATCGGAGTTACTGAAGTGTCATTTGAACTTGCTACCTACTGGTTGAAAAAAATGATTCAACCACTATATTATCACTTTAGTGCACAGTATAAGCTGATGGCATTCTCCTTATTTCAAGATAGTTTATCAAAGTCAAAAAATAAAACTGATCTGTTTTTAAACAGAAATGGATTGTGACTAGCAGTGAAATCCAGGACGCGCCTTTTATCCTGTTTGGGACTCGTCAGCTGAATGTAACTGCATCCCAGAGTTGTTGTTCGCCCCAGGACTCGAACCCAGTGCTGTTCACTGGATTCCACTGTTAGCCGCCATCCATTCTTAGTGGCTGGTTCCCAAGGACAGATTTGAAATGCTGTATGCATAGCTATGTATTTTATCTTATACTGATCGGCGCTGCAAATTTTTAAGGGTTAGATTATGAATTTGTTGCCAGGGCAAGTGAGTGTATACTTATGTTAGGGGTGTTTTTTGTTATTGTCTCTAGTTTCCGAATCGCATAAAAAGTCAATAAATAACGCATTAACTACTGCCATAGATATCTTTTGTTCAACAGATATAATAATGGCTACTATTACTATTATTATAATAAACCGAAGCAGGAAATTTTCTTAGTGGACCATCCCCCGATCCTATGATCTAGAAATTTAATTCATAACACTGGATCAAAGTTGGAAGCTGCGTTTTCATTGTACCTGGTGACTCAAACTAGGTTCATGAACCATTTATTTCCTCGAGATTCTGGCTCCCATGTACTACACTGGCTTGAAATCAGGGTTTTACAACTCCTTTAGATGAACCCAATGCCCCCCAACCGGGTTTAAACATCGGTCATTCGCTTTTCGCCTTCTCATTTTATAAAATACACCCATACCACGTAAAGGTAATGAGTAATAATTCCCTGGTATAAGTCATATATGCATGACTATATGAAAGAATATCTAAAAGAAGGGTGAACTTTCCCCAACTTTGATCATACTGGGTCATTTAGATCATGTCATAGTGTAAAATTATCATCAAAATCTCGAATGTCTACGCTCCTTAAATGATTCAAAAAAATATTTGTTAGTTGGATATTTGATTTGAATATTTATTCGATAAACATCACAATAACAAATAAATATACCTTAGATTGTTATAATATCTTTCTTAACAATAATCTGATAATTAGTTTGATTTAATGTTAAATATAAATAACCAATAGCTTTAATTCATTATTAACCGAACTGTGAACAAGTACGTGATTGACCCATAAATTTGTATACTTAGAAAGTATATCTAGACAAAGAGCTATTCATTCTATCTTTTCGACTCAAATCAGGATTTATAAAACAATCAATAATTCTGTCTTATGATTGTTGTGATTCTTTTTTTTCCGTGGCAATAATGGATTAAAGTTTACTTCTATCGTTGTTCAACTTCAGATAAGGATTAAACAACAAATATCGAATGACATTCAACGCTTTACTCTTTTAGTTTCTTTTCCCCCCTTATGATCAAACATTAGTTTTGTGTACGCAAATGAGACTAACTTCAAAATGAATTAGTTCTAATGAAAATTCATAACTGTTAATGTTTAGCAATGTTAGTGATGTAGTGCTCAATTCACTCCTCAATAATAATAACATAGGGTGACATTACGCCGTATTATGAATTAGTATAATGTGTTTGTGTGCATTGTTGAATCTCATAGTTTATATCACGAACGAATATAGATTAGACAGTCATTTAAAATTTAAAAGCAGTAGACATTTGTTTTATCTCAGTACGTAATTATTTAGCTATGAACATCTACAACCCTACCAGACATCGAATCCACTTAAGCTAAGAAACATGATTAGGTGTTATCACAAATTAATTAACGCTGAAAATCTAAACCAATAAATACCGTCTTATTAATTAAAAAGTAACACACTCGTCATAAGGTATGATAGTCTTGAGTTCAGAGTATGGTAGGCCTCGGGAATTTCACAAGTTCACATTGCTTAAGACAAAAATTAACTAAAAAAAATAACTCTTTCATCTGATTACAATCAAGTCGGTTATTTCACATTCTCAATTTGTTCAAAATTATCTCTGTCCTTATTAATTAATGAGTGCTATGTTGTAATGAGCTTTTTGTAGCACAATAACTAAAGAAGACATGAGTATTTATTGATTGTTTTGAGCTGATTAAATACTATGTAACATGACTTGTGTATACAGCTAAATTATGGTTTATATATAAGTGTATGGCGCATGTATGTCTGTGGCTCAATTGTTTGTTCTTACAACCTCATAAACATACCAGTCATGTATGTATGTATTCTGTATGATATGAGTATTAGACTACTTGTAGT